AGCCCAGCACTTCTGGAGGAACTGAGGTGAGCAAGAGAACCTGGTGCAGAAGCTTCTAAGGAAGATACCTAAAGGTAGTAGGTGCTTGTTGGTCACTGCCTTTTTATTCCTCCCACTTCTGCTTTAACTCTCTTCTGAACTGGGTTTTAATTTATTCATTTGATTTTAACTAGTTTGTCATTGAATTGGATCACACAGTTGTGACACCTTTGAAGATGGAGACCAAAGGGCTTAGCTCTTTCCCTGCCCTGTGGAACATGGAGGCAGAGAGGATAGCAAGCACAGTTCTGTCACTCCTGCAGAAATTCACTGTATTAAAGCATGGGTTCTTCACAAGAATAGTACATAATAGAAGTGTTGGCAGTCATTACTCAGCAGGCTTGGAACAAAGTAATTATTAGGTGGTATTAATAGAATGAAATACCATGTTGGAGGGGTGCAGAGGAGGATGTGGGAACTGGAGGACACAGAGGAGTGGTGACTGGCTAGACCTTGGCTAGCTATGACACCAAGCTAATGGCTGCAGGGAGAGCCTTGCCTTACAACCAGGAGGAAAAGCACATACACTTACTGTAGTCCTGCTGTAAGGCAGCAGCTTGAGCAGATTTGGGGCTTGGAGATATTTTAGAACTTGAGGTTCCTGGTGTGGCTTAGGGGGTTCCACCTTGGGTCAGCAGTTCAACCCCAGTGAAATCTGGGGGAATTGCATGGACAAGCAGAAAGCTTTGCTTATACCAGTAGGGACTCAGGGAAAGCATGGGTAAGTGGAGCTGAGGTGGAAGAGGATTATTTCCCAGCACCTGCTGACTCACAGCTCTCCAGGGTCTCCTTCAAATCCCCTAAATGTTTACAACCTCCCTTCCCTTTCTCCACTGTTGGGTTTTGGGGTTGCTTGAGTTTTTCTTCCAGTCCTGTGCCTCATGCTTGGAGTTGTGGCTATTTCCTGTGCAGGAAACGGGCTGTCCTTTTGGAAAGGGAAAAGAGTTACCCTTCTTGTGGCTTTCTGCAGCAAAGACAGAGACCAGAAGGACATTGGATGAAGGTGAGAGATGCACCTGTGTAGGTGTTCCCTGCTTGGTCAGACCTGCTGTTCCCCTGGCTGAGCACTGCTGTGGTGGATAACTTAATCCCTGTGAAGACAGATGGTTGGCAAAGGTAAGTGTGGGACATCCCACCCCTTCTCTCTGAACAGGTTCCCCAGAGGAGGAAAGGAACTGGGGTGTGCCTGTAGGAATTAGAAGCAGGAATTAGCTGGGTTTACCTGGCTTTTGCCTGGTGTTTTCAGAGACACATGACCTTCATCCTCTGGCCTGTGGGCTGCTGCTGCAGCATGGCCGCCTTGCTGAGTCACAGCACTAACTCTGGTGGTTTTACCTCCTGTGGAGGTGAGGGACCAGGTCTGGAGGAGGTGAAGAACCTGCCCTGCTCAGTGCTTGTGTTTTTCAGACAGGCTTTTGTCTTAAGGGTCTCGAAGCATCTGACCTCTTCCATCGCAGCATCACTTATGCATGGAGCAGGTGCCTCCTCGCTCAGCCCAGCTCTGTGCCAGAGCCCAGATGTCGAGGTACAGAGGAGATGCGTAGTAAGAGTAATAAATAAAGCTACTCCAGATGGCCAGATGCCAGGCCACTTGCTCCCACCTGCTACTCCTGCGCTGCTGGGGCCACGTGGTAAAGTGCAGGGAAGGGTAGAACAAGCAGAGAAGCAAAGGGTGAGCATTGCAGCTTGAGTCTTTAAAGCTGATCAAGCTCAGTGTGCCAGGGGTGCTTCAGGTGGGATGGCTGCAGAGCAGGGTGCAGGCAGGCAGCCCTGTGTCCCTCATGCTTGGGAACACTGTTTTCCTGGCTCTGATTAAAGCTGGTGCCTTGGATGGGGATCCAGACCTGCCACCTCTGAGCTCCATCCGTCCAGGGTTGCTGCCCTGGTACACCCACAGCAGGCAGAGCCAAGCCTGGGGAGGATCACTGGCATTTTGGTGATGCTCAAGAGAATCAGGGCAAACAACAGGAAGAGAATTGCAGCCTCTGCCTTGCCAAAGCTTGGCTGCCTTCCCAGCTCCTGGAAAGGAACAAAACCCAGGGGCTGGAGGTACCATGCAAAGATGCTGGTGCCCTGTGACTGCAGTTGGCCTCAGTTCACTGGGGCTGGTGGTTCACAACAGGCTTTGTGTGGCTGATTCTGTGTTGGAGGCTTCATGCTTTGCTCAGCAGGCAAAGCGAGTTCTTCACTGGCTGGCAGAGCCAGGTCTCGCTTGGCTTCACCGGGACACATCCAACATCTTACATGTGTGACCATGCAGAGCCCCTCCTGTGCGCTGAGCACTGCTTATAGGCAAGGTCAGTGTGCAAAACCTCCCTCTGATGGAGCAACCCAGGCTGCATCCTGAGAGCATCCTGCCCAGGGTGATGGTGGGTGAATAGGGAGAGAGGGAAATACACCCCAATGGGGTGTATTTCCTCACCCCTGCAGCTTCCCCTTCCGTACAGGGTGGTGGAGAGAGGCTTTGATGTGAGCAGGAGGATTAGACACCATCAGCCCCCTCCTGGGTGCCTCAAAGCTGAGCTGGAGCATGGCGCTGGGATGGGAGGGTTTGTTTCCATTTACAGGGAAACCTGTTAATAAAGGAGAGCAAAGGGACTGCTCTTTTCCTGGCTGCTGGAACAGATGGCTGGATAACACAGGGAGATTAATATGCAGGGACTCCTGCTGGGGTGGGATTTGATTGCCTCTTAGGAGAGGTTAGCACGCTCCAGCTGAGCTCTGCCACCACTCTGCCTGCAGGGGTCCTTGGGGACCATGGGGCAGATCCATGGCATAACCAAGCATAGGATGGGAGCTGGTCATGGGGAAGGATACAGCTGGATGATGCTCTGTGAGAGCTGAGCTTGCCCTGATCTGCAGCAGTGCGAAGTGTTTCCAGCCCTTCAAACAGCAGCCAGCCACATCCATAGGGAAGATAAATCCCTGCTGAGGCTTAGGGAGCCCCAGGGCAGCAGGAGGAGAGGCCACCCAGCACCAAGCATGACCATGTGGCCATGGGTCAAGCCCAAATCAATGGGAGCCTCCAGCCAACAAGCCAGGATCGACAGGCCCAAGGTCACCCTAGATGCACGCAGGCTGCTCGGGTGTCCGGTGCCCATCACACCCCAGGGATAACGGTGCCCCCAAACCCTTCCCCTTCGTGCCTTTGCTTTGCTCCCCCTCTTTGCTCCCGCTCCCTTGCTGAGCATCAAGGCAGTGCTGGGCTTTGATCAGGGGCAGCAGCACAGCTGCTCCCGGCCGCCTTCCTGCTGCATCAGGAGCTGTTGAGCCCCGGTGTGAATCCTTGCAATTAGGCCTGTTCTGCTGCCTGCCTCGTTTGATCGCCTTTAATTATTTATCACCTCCTTTTCCCCCTCCTTCCCAAATCCCCGCTTGCTTTCAAGTGATGATTCCCTTCCTCTCCCCACAGCGGTGAGTGCCTCTGCCTGTCTGCTTGCGATCACCATCCCTTCTCCCTGCCCTTCCATCTCTCTCCCCCTTTGTTCTGCACTGGATCATCCCTTCAGGCCGTGCTCCTGGCTGCATCCCTGAGCTCTCTGCGTGCCTGGTTGCTGTTCTTGCCTCTTCTCTCTGTTTTACCCATCTATTACCTGTCTCCATCCCATTCCTGGCTGTGTGTACACTAAACCTCCCATTCCTGTTCACCCCGAGGTGGCTCCATTGCAAAGCAGGGACCCAGGGAACATTCATGGTGCCAGGTTCTCCACACCCTGCTTTTGCTGCTGTGGGGGGCCCAGCTGCATCCCCCCCATCTCCTTTGTTTCCCAAGGCTCGATGCATTATTCAGCGCTGCGGGTGCTCGAAGGATAATGGTGCTGCGAAGGGCATGGGCTCACCTCAGGGATGCTGCTTTTCCTGTCACGGGCTGTTTTCCTTCTCCATCATTATTAAGCTGGGTGAGGCACTGACCATGCAGGAGGTGTCTCCTAGGAACTGGCATTTGCTCTTGTCCTGGGGAGGATGTGGCAGGGATAAAGGCAGCAGCAGTAGCGCTGGGGATGCTCCAGGGGCTGCACTGCAGCTCCTGAACCCGGCTCTCCATCCCAGTCCCCTCCCCACATCCCACTCCCAAGGCCGATCCCACCATGGAGGGACAGCTGGGTGCCTTGGTTTGCTTTCTCCTTGGGAATGAGCAGCCAGACTGGGGAGGGAGCAGGGCAGAGGAAACCTGGCACTGCTGAAGGAAACAGGAATTGTGGGCTTGTTCCTATGGGCTCATCACCTGTGGTGTGGTGCTGGGCAATGGGTTAGAGGGGCAATGGCACATCCTGTGTCACCACGGCTCATCCTGCTGGGGAGGGGTGAGGAGGTAAAGGATGGGAGATGGGATGGGATGGGATAGATGGTGGGATACGGGATGGAATTCTATTCAAGATGGAATCTGGGATGGGTTACAGGACAGGGTGAGATGTGGGATACAAACCGCGATGGGATACAGGGCAGGATACATGAAAGGATGAGTTTCAGGGTGGGATATGGGATGGGATTCAGTGTGGGATAAGTGGTGGAGTGGGTTGGGATACAGGCTGGGATATTGGATATAGGAGAGGTTGGGATGGGATATGGGCAGGGTATGGGATGACTTTCAGGTTGGAATATGGCATGGGCTGGGATACAGGATGGTTTGTCCTGGCCATCGCATCCCCCAGGCAGGAGCAGCTTGTCTGGGACAACGCCCTGGGTGCCTGGTGCTGCACCCCAAGGGGATGATTTGGGCGCTGGGGGGGAGGGAGGGGGTGTTGCAGAGATGTGGGGCTTGGGGTGCAGGTGGATGGGGAGATGTGGGGGAGGGAAGAGGGGGGCACTGGGAGAGCTCTGAGGAGATGGGGGCAGAGGGTTCTATGGTGAGGTGGGATGTGGGGGTGTCTATGGGGGGGGACGGGTGCCGCCGCGCCCTCCGCCCTGCAGGCGGCGCTGTGCGCCCTCGGCGGCGCGCTGTCTCGGCTCGCAGCTCTGTGTCGCGGAGCTGTCCAGCACTTCAGGAGGAGCCGCGCCGGGAGGGGCCGGGCCGGGCCGGGCCGAGCCGAGCGGGACCGAACGGGGCCGAACGGTACCGAGCGGGGTCGAGCGGCTCCGGCAGCGCCCGGCAGCAACGGCTCCGGGCCGGGCCCCGCGGGGAGAGGTGAGGCGCGGGGCGGCGCGGCCAGGCCTGGCTCGGGCCGGCACCGGGCGGGGGGGACCCCACTGGGTACAGGAGGGGGGCAGAGAGGGGACGGGGATAAACGGGAGGGGGTCTGGGGGTGCTGCGGAGCCCCCCAAGGGGCGGGGATGGGGCTCACGGTGCTGCTATGGGGCAGCGAACTGGGGTCCGCAAAGGGAGCGGGGAGGCAGCGGCCCGGGGGTGCCGGCGTGCCTGGGGGACCCCGCGGTGCGGTGATGCGTTGGGGGCGCAGCGATGTGGATGTGTCCGGTGCTGGGGGGGACCCCTTGTCCGTGTCCTCCGTGCTGCGAGGGACCTCCCCCCCCCCCCCTCCCCCAGCCTCAGCAGTGGGTTGGGGCTGGGAAGGACGGGATGGAGATGGTGCCATGAGGGGTGCGGGTGGGAGATGGGGCCGGGATAACGGCCCCGAAGCCCCGCTCGACCCCCGGGCAGAGAGGGGAGAGAGGGTTCCCGCAGCTCCTGGTGCGATTCAAACCGTGCGGTGTTGCACGGGGGAAGGAGAGGGGCGAGGTCCGTCTATGGGCAGCGGGGGGTGCTCTGTGCTCCTCTGTCCCGGGATCCGGAGGTTTGTCCCCAGGGATGCTCCGTGTGTGGGGCCGCGGGTTCCATTCATCCCTCCCGGAGCAGAGATGGATGTTTCTTGGCTTGCCTGAGCTCCTGCTGCTGCTGCAGGGGGGTCACTGGGGGGACTGCCAGCTTTTGGGGGTGCCTCGGCTTGATGGGAAGCGCCGAGGGCCATCTCAGAGGGTGCAGGTGCTCACATGCCCCTGCTGGGCTGCCTGCCCTGCCGTGTGGGTTTGTCTTTGTAGGAGCACGGGGACAGCCCCAGAGTGGGGTATTTTGGGGACAGGAGAACTTGGGGCTTGTGTCCAAGCACACAACATCCTCGTTCTGTGTCCCCCTGCATCCCCTCTGCATCCCTCTTGCATCCCCCTGCCTTTCCCTCCATCCCGTCTGCCTTCCCCTGCATCCCTCCTGCCTCCCCCTGCTTCCGCCTGCATCCCTCCTGCATCTCCCTGCCTCCCCCTGCCTTTCCCTGCCTCCCCTGCATCCCGCCTCCCCCTGCCCAAGGACTCATCCTGGCAGCACACACAGGGAGAGGCAGGGGCTTTCAGAGCCACAAGTTGGGCAGCTTGGGGATGGGGATGTGTGTGTGTGTGTGTGTGTGTGTTAGAGCTCTGGGTTGGTTTTGTCCCTGCTGCCAGGGAAATGGTGCTTTTAATCCCAGGCAAAGTGGCTCCTGCCCCAGAGCCCCGATCCGGCTGCGGGTGGATGCATGGCAATGGATGGGAGAGCAGAAGTGCCCCCCCCCCGCGTCTCCGTGCAGGGGATGCCCGCAGGGTGCAGGTCACCCCATGGGTTCAGCCGGGAGGGGGGCTGTGATCCCCAAATCCCTTCCTCCTCCTCCTTCTCCTCCCTGTCTCCCAGCTCCCGTTTTTCCCGGCCAGGTGGCCCATGGCTTATATAATGCGCTCAAACCCCGGAATAGCTCCTCCCGTTACACAACCACCCGGTCAGCCACGGACGGGGGGGAGATTCCCGGCTGGATGCTCCCCCTGCGCTGGACATGACCCCCCCATTCCCGCAGCACTGGGCTCCAGGGGTCTTTTGCTGGGATTATATCCCTGTTGAGGAAGGCGACCCAGTTGTGATTATCATCACCCTGCTCCTGTGTGCTCACTAATTGCTGTTATTGTTATTATTATTGAATAATAATAATAACATGATAATAAGAATTATAATAATTATTATAATAGTAATGGTAATAATGGCTGAGGTGGCCCCAAGGGGTTGAGGAGGGTGTGGGCTGGGGCATCCCATAGGGGTACCCATCACCCCACTTATCATGGGGGGTTTGGTGCTGTCACTCGGATGATTCTCCTCCTCTACCTCATCCCTGGCCCAGGGATAGGATCCTGCACGGATCCTGTGGTCCCCTGGTGCTGGTCCCCATCATGGTGTGATCCATTCCCATCCGCTCTCCTCCAGATGGAGCTGAGAATGGGGTTTGCTCGGCCTCCCCTGGCACCCCAAAGGGGTCAGGCTTCAGCCACAGCGCTGTGGGACAGGAGCAAAGCCCAGCTCCTCCCCTCATCCATCCCTTTCCTCCAGAGCATCTCCCAGGGGAGCTGGTGGATCTCTGCTTTGAGGTGCCCGTCAGTGGGGGGGGACCGGTCCCCACCCCTGGCTCCCCCATCCCTACATCCCCAATCTGGGAAGGAGCCCAGTTGCTTAGCAACTGTTTAGCTTCTCCACCAGCCTCCTCATCTATTTAAAAGATATATATATATATCCTTTTATATATATATATCTGCACAGACGTAGGTATGCACAAGCAGCAGGGAGCCCTCACCAAGCTCATGCCCCCCTCCCTCCAGCCAGCATCCATATATTCCATATTAATTGCTTTAAAGTCTGCAAGGTGCCAAATTGTGCCGGGGCAGAGGAAAGGATGCTCTGGTCTCAGGGAAATAGGGATGAAGGGGCTGGGATGGATGTATCCAACCCTTTCTGCTGCCCCTTCCTATGAACAGGATCCCCGCTGGCTTGGGGCTGGGGTGCAGCTCTAATGAGCCCCAGAACCAGTTACACTTTTACAGCCAGATTTGCCTTTTTTAGGCCTTTCTCAGAGGTCTGACTCATGGTTTTTGGCACTCGGAAGGCAGCTCCGCAGAAGGTCAGCCCAATTCATGGCAGCGACACTGGACTTTTCCTCCTTGCAGTGCTGGCCCGGTGTTCAGAGGATGCTGCTGCCTTGCTGTGATGTTCTGGCACTTTTAGTCTTGGACAAAAAGAGCCTTTCTCCCAGCTGTTCCCATGGGAAGAGCCTGGAATGGGGCTGTCAATGCTTGGGAGACAGGGTGATGATTTCAATAAGTGGTGCTGTGCCCTGAGGAGACCCTGGCGGGCAGGGGAACCATGGGGACCACTCCTCCCATTCTCTCTGGTGGTGCTGGAGCATCTTCACCTCCACTGGGCTATCCACTGCTTGTTGGGACTGAGCTCGGGCACGCTCGGTACATGAGTGGTCCAGGGAGCTGCATCCTGTGCCCTCATCCCTGCATCCTGTGCCCGCATCCCTGCACCCCGTGCCCACATCCCTGCACCCTGTGCCCGCATCCCTGCATCCCGTGCCTGCATCCCTGCATCCCGTGCCCTCATCCCTGCATCCTGTGCCCGCATCCCTGCACCCCGTGCCCGCATCCCTGCATCCCGTGCCCGCATCCCTGCATCCCGTGCCCGCATCCCTGCATCCCGTGCCCGCATCCCTGCATCCCGTGCCCGCATCCCTGCATCCCGTGCCCGCATCCCCATCTCCCCATCACCCTGGTGCAGCTGGATGTGGTGAGAATTAATGGAGCACCGGCCGGAGGCAGCTTTAATTAGAGCCGAGGCAAGGAGGGGGGTGGATGCCCAGCACCGCTGTCGCCTTTCCTCACCGAGGGGATGATGCCGGGAGAGCATCCAGGCACCGCTCCCACCGAGAATGTGGCTTCATCTGCATTATGGCATGGCAGGGCCCTGCGGCAGAGGACAGGGGTGATGGGCAGCTGCCTCCAGCACAGCCCCATGCCTAGGGTGCTGTGGGCATGGCCAGGGAGCTGAGTGAGCGGTGCCCATGGGGGATTTGAGCAGAGGCAGCTGGGAAGGGGCTCGTTCTGGGCTGGAAAATGTAAGGGAAAGGGCAGTTTGGGGAATTAACACTTTTTTTTTAGCTCATTTTCCTTGTTTTCTTCTCTCCGGCTGGAGCTCCACAACCTCTGCGCATCAAAGCCCAGGCTGGGATATGGGGACAGCCACATCCTGGGGACACCCCTAAGGGTCCCAGCCTGTAGGGAGGGAGCTTGGTTTAAAGCTTGGCTGGAAACCAGGGTGGTGAGGCTGGTCCTGGCACCCCACGCTAACAGGGTCTGTCCTGGCTGTGTGTCAGGGGCACAGTGCTGTGTGTCTGTCCTTCTGTGCATCCCAGCCTCCATGGGCTGGGAATGCTGGTGCCCGGGTGCAGAGCACCCTCGGTGCAGTTCATCATGGAGAGACGCAGTGTGCTGGTCCTGGTGCTTGGGGTGAGGCATGAGATGGGGTGGAGAAGGAGGATGAGGATGGAGAATAGGGATGATGATGGAGGATTGAGGGTGGAGAAGGAGGATGGGGATGAGGATGGATATGCATATGGAGATGGAGGATGGATATACGTATGAAGGATGGATATGGAGGATGTGGATGAGAATGAGGATGGGGATATAGGATGAGGATGGATGATGGGGAAGGAGCAGCTCTGAACATTCCCCAAAGCTCTAACGCAGGCAGCAGAAAGTGCCTGTGAGCTGAAATGCCTTTTTGCCCTCCCCAAGCCTCCTGGCATGTGGAGTGCCAGCAGGGCAGGTCGGGATCCCAAAGCACATGGATGAATGGCTCTGCAAAATGGGAAGAGAGGGATTTGCTTGGGAGTTTCCCCAGCAGCTCCAGCCCATGCGTTTGAGCCCTTCTGGGGGGGGGCACTAAGGGGACTTGTGTTGTGGGGACTGTATCTGCCCGCATCCTGCAGCCTTTAGCATGGGAGCACAGCGCAGCGCTGGCCCCAAGGCACCTCCTCTCCCTCTCGGATGCACAGGGCAGTGGATGATCTGTGGGTAATTACTGCAGATAGATAATGAAATATTTAACCATCATCTTCATTACCGGGGGTAGCGCTGAGCAGGGAGGGAGCTGCTGCCGGTGGGGCAGGGCTGTGCCTGCACTGATGGGTCTGGCGCTGGGTTTGGTGCTGGGGCGAGGTGGCAGAGCTGGGAGGTCATTGTATGGTGGCCAATGGATGGAGGCTGCGGTGGTGATGACCACAGTGTCCCCAGGCTGTCCTTTGTGGGTGCAGAGCATCACTGGGGGTCTCCTTTGGGGACAGGGAAGGCACAGAGCTCATCCTGAGGCACTGGGGCTCCTTCTGCCCCCAGTGTGACCAGGGAGGTGGGACCGGCTCCGTCTCCCACCCAGGGCTTTGCTGCTGGCAGCTGGAGGAGGGCTCCTCCTTTGTCTTCCTGCTCATTGCTGTGGCTGAGGCCTCTGGAATCAGCTCTCCCTGTGGATATTGCTCACGGCTGAGGAGACACCGGGATGCAGCGCGGTGTCCATCCTCGGCTGCAGCGGGATAGCTCCAACCGCATCCTTTTCATGGATACAGGGAGCATTTCCCATTGGGATCTGCCTGTCTCCCGCACTGTGCAGGTACCCATCCATCTGCCGGGTTATCTCCCATGCTCCTCCATCTACCTGCCCAGCTGTGTATCCCACATGCTCTCAAGGCTTTGCAGCAGTGAATTTACCCACTCAGGATAACATTACTTCCCACTGGGGAAAAGCAAGCAGAGGCTGCTGTGGAAAGCATCCTTTCCTTCCTTCTCTCCTCCCCTGAGCCCTTCAGTGGATAGAGGTTTCCCATCGGGAGCTTCCCTCATTCCCTTCCTGGTTTATGGCTTCATGCCCTGATGAAAGAGGAAGAGGAGCCCCTAAGCCACGTTATTCTGCAGCATCTCTCCTATCTCTCGCCCAGGGCAGCTCCTCTCTGTGGGGTGTCATAGGGCTTGAAATGTGGGTGCTGCCCCATTGCTGCAGGCAACGGAGCACTGAGGGACCCTCTGGGTATTCCAATGGCTCCTGTCCCATCGGCAGTGCATCCCGCTTCCTGCTCCCCTGTGCCCTTATGGGAATAAAGGGCTGCTGGCTCCTCTGCATGGCAATCATAGGGAGAAGAGGGAAGAATAAAGGCTTGTAATTAAGCAGTCAGCTCCTGCCCTCCCCTGGGCAGGCTCGGCAGCACATAGATGAGTGCATGGGGCAGGCGGTGGCAGCGGGGAAGCTGGGGATGTCCTTTGGGGATGCCATGGGGTGGGAGCTGCCTTCCTGCCTGGCTGAACCCATGGGGAAAGAGGGAGCTGAGGCTTTTTCTCCTCTCAAAGAGAGGGATCTCCCTCTTTCCCCAGCCCAGTGCTCAGCCCCGTGCTCGGGCAGCGTGTATCGGACACCCTTGGTGTCGTGGGCAAGGCCTGCCTGCTTCCCACATAGGAAACAACATGCAGGCAGCATCCATCCTTGGAAAGGTCTCTCCAGCAGGATCCCTGGGGTGGAAACACCCCAGAGAAGTGGCTGCTGGCAAAAGCTGTGTCCCCAAGCCCAAACCCAGGTTGGAGAGCGCTCTGCCTTCACCCGTGTTTCTCTTTGTGTAGGACTCAGCAGGAGATGCAATTGTAGGAGCAGAGTCCAGGCAATCCAGCTGCTGGGGGTCATTAAGGCAGCGCATCTCCATTGGGAGCATCCCGTGCTGGGATGAGAGGGACAGTGCTTTGTGCAGGGGAGCACCACGGGGTGGGGGGGCTGAGGAATGAGTGCTTACATGTGTGCTGGTGGCCTGGTTCGCTGAGACAGGGCTGTGGCTGTCTGGTTGGTCCAGGTGATGTGGGAGCATCTCCTCCTGCAGGATCGGGAGCATCACCCGGAGCCTCAGCGCTGCTTGGAACAGTTGTCCTTTTCCAAGGGGCTATTTTGGGAGCCAAGTGAGGAGGAGGCAGGGACACGTGAATGTGGAAGAGCAGGAGCCAGTGGGAAGTCTCACTTCCCCTTGCAGCCAGCACTGCTGTGCCAGAGAGTGCCAGGCTGTTGCCAGAGGGCATCTGCATGCGCTTGGTGGCTGGTGCAGACATTGGGATGGACCACAGCTGCATCCACACCAACCAGTGCAGCGGGGGGATGCAAGAGGATGCCTGACCTTTGGTTTCCATCCCCTTGCTGGATGGGGACAGTGCCCAGGGGTGTCCTCAGAGGGCTGTGGGGATGAATGCCTGCCCCTGCTCCACACTGCACCTGCTGATGTTGTCCATAGGGCTTGGAGGGGCCCTGCCTCTCTGTCCTGGTGCTACCCTATGGTTCTGGGTGCTGTAGACCCTGGTATGAGCCTGGCGCAGAGCATCCTCCTTCCTTTCCCATGGTGATGGGAATAGCCCCACTTGCTTTGCAGGTGGGAAAAACAAGGCACTTGGGAACAGGGGCAGGAAGGGCACTGGCAGAAGACCCCCATCTCTGCATCGCTGTCCCCATCATCCTGCTGCACCCACACCCCTTGTGGGACAAACTTTGCCTTCAGGTCCTTGTGCCACCATGGGTTGAGACGGGAACTGAGGCAGGGACTGACCCCGGCTCTCTCTGTCCCTATAGGCGGTGCTGGTGGCGAGCCCACCCGCAGCAGCATGGCTCTGTACAACAACGGGGCCGAAGTGCCTTCACCCCAGGAAGCTTCCAATGGCTTCCCACAGCCCGGAGCCTCGGGAACGTGGCACAAGGGGGAGGAGGAGGCGCGCCTGGCGGAGCCCACCCTGGTGAAGAAGGCCCACAGGGAGATCCTGGACCATGAGCGCAAGCGGCGCGTGGAGCTCAAGTGCATGGAGCTGCAGGAGATGATGGAGGAGCAAGGGTGAGTGCCAGGGGATTGGGGCTGGGCTGGAGGTGGAGCCCATGGCTTGGGATTCATCCATGGCACCTCCTTCTCCCCCCTTTGCCCTCTCTATATCTGATGTGGCAGATGTCCCCTGGTCTAAGTATAGAAGCATAGGATGGTTTAGGTTGGAAAAGACCTCAGGATCATCTAGTTCCAACCCCGTGCCATGGGCAGGGACATCTCACACCAGACCATGACACCCAAATCCCTGTTAAAAACAAATAAATCAGCTTTTTTGGGGAATCAGATGGCTTTGGGGTGGACTGTTGGGTTGGTTGTGAAGGTAAATGCCTCCAAGAGATGCAGACCTGGGAGTGCATCCACACACAGGTTGGAGGCTCGCTCTGGCTCTTCCAATTGGAAATATGGGCTTCCAGCTCGTTGTCCCAGGAAACCCAAGGCAGGAAGGAGGACTAAGTTGCTCGTGGTCATGAAAGCCATCAGTGCCACCCAGCCCTGTGATGGGACATCTCTGTGTCTTGAAATGAGGAAATGAAGGAGAGCTGGGGTTTAGGGTCTGGTGTTTGTGTTTGTCTTCTTTCTTTGTCCTTCCTTCTTCTCTCCCCCTAGTTATGGGGCGAGAGCATCCCCCCATCCTGCCATGCCCCTGTCTGGGCACTGCGAGCTGCTTTGCTTCCATGGGGAAGCAAAGGACTGGGGGAAAACCCATAGGGCTGGAGTGCATCCCTGCCTTTGGGGGCAGACGGGAATGGGGGACCAGGGAGGAGACCCCCATCCCCACTGCACCCACGGCTGCCTTGGAGCTCCAGCACCAACCCAACAGTCTGATCCCTCCCTGACAGCTCACTAAAGCCTGATGGATGGAGGAAATTCTCCGGCACACACAGACTGGTATCAGCCAGGGAGGAGGAAAATGGATTGAGGGAAGGCTTCGCCAAGGCTTTCATTAAGAGCACAAGCATGACCTAGAATTAAATTGTCTCACACAGGCTGGAATAATGAGGGTGCCTAATTTGTCGTTATGGAAATAAATAAGGCTGACCTGGCACTTTGGGGAGCCTCCTGTCGGGTTCCCGCGCCCTACTAGGGATCTTACTACTAGTAGTACCGTCAGTGCGATGGGTAATGGCAATGCTGCACCAGCTATTGTTGTTATTGCTGTAATTGCCTTTGCTGTTATTAAGGCTATTAATAACAGTGATGACGATGATACGCTGAAATGATAAGATAATTACAGCCATCATCTTGGTCAACCTGGTTAATCCTGCTTCCTGCTCTTCCCCTCCGCACAGGGGCTCTCTGGGGGGGGGGGTATGGAATCACTGTGCATCCCTGAGGTTTCTACCAAGGCTGGGAGCTGCATCCTGGCCATGGGGATGTCACAGGGGAGGGATGAGCGGGCATGACAGCAGAGGTTTAGCAGGGGTTTAAGCACTCCCTTGTTTCCATACATGCGGATGGCTCCTCCTGCCTGCGCTGCTGCTTGCTCCCGGCTCCCCATGCTGTTATTCCCTGCCTGCAGGCTGGGTTCTTGTCCAGAATCAGGTGTCAGCGGATTTTCATCCTTACCCAACCCCATTCTATGTGTTAAATGCCAACACAAACCCCCTCCAATGGGGTTATAAGCAGCACCTGGGGGTTGTAGGAGTGAAGGAGCTGGTGCTCCTGCATCCAATGCAGCATCAATGGGTGCAGGGGGTTCCTCGCCTTGGCCTCATCCCCTGCAGGCCCATCTGTCACCTCCTGTTTGGCCTCATGTCCCCCCTCCGAGAGCATTGGATGCATTTCTAATGTGCTGCAGCAATGCTCATCTTCCCGGGCAGACATCTCCCTGCTGCTGCTGCTGCTGCTGGCTCAGGTCCATGAGGTGGACAGGGATGGGGACTCTTGCTCTGCCCAGCTGGGTGCACTGCTGTTGGTGGCACAGTGCAGGGCACCATATGGGGGTGCTGCCCTGTTTTGGGGTCCCCTTCCATGTGCATGCAGGGTGCAAGGTGAGGGGAAGCAGCCTCAGTGCCCTCCTGCACTTGGTCTTGCCCGGCTGGGGAATTAATGAGCCCTTCAGTGCAAATGAGCTTGTTAATATTAATTGCCCTCTCCTTGCTGTTACCTCCATGGGCACTGGGGGGGGTGCATGCTGCCATGTGCCCCTCTGCACCCATGGCACTCAAGGACATCCATGGCACTGTGAGGGGCATCACTGTCCCTCATGGGCTCTGTGACGTGCCAACATTGAGGACCACAGGGCTTGCCCAGGCTGTGGCACCCAGTTTTCTGGCCTCATCGGCAGTGATGCTGATGAGACAGGATAGTGAGGATTTGCCATGAGCACTGCCTGTAGATGGTGAGGACAGGCACACACAGAGACCCCTTCTCTCCCAGCAGGTGACATGGGGTCCCTCTCCCTTTACCCTGTCCCCACAGATGACGCTGGGTGCACCGTGCATCCTATTGGGATGCAGGTCGAGGGGGATGCTCCGGTGCCCTTGTACTGCTGCGGGATGCGGCACAGCACTGAGTGCCCAGGGCTGTCACTGGTCCCTCCAAGGGACACCTCAGGGATGGCTGAGCACCGTGGTTTGATGCCAGGGACAAAGTGATTGGTGTCTGTCATTAATAACCCTGCAGTGGCCTGAGTCAGCGGTTGGTGTTAGCGCAGAGCTGGCTCGGCTGCCAGGGATAAGCAAAAGAGGCTTGTGAAGGGATGCAGGCACAAAGAGGGAGCCCTGGCATCACTGGCACTGCTGGGGACATGCCCTAAAGCCTGGGGCAGTGGGGCAGAATGGCAACCTCATGGTCATCCTCTTCTTTTACCCCTTCCTGATGTCCCTTCCTCTGCCAAGCACTGCTGGGAGGAGCAGGCAGGAGAAGGGAGGGTAATAGGGATTAGTGGACATGGCAGTGCTGGGGTAATGGTTGGACTTGATAATCCTAAAGGTGTTTTCCAACCTGGTTGATGCTTTGATTCTATGGAGCGTGGTGGCAGGGGACCAAGCTCAGAGGACCTGATGACTGTCACCATGACACCTCTCCTGAGCAGCCACATATTGCTCCCAAAGGTATAGAGGTCTTCAGCAGGTCCCTGGGGAGCCCACGCTCCAACCACAGCAGCTCTGACCACATCTTTGCCCATCCAGGTACTCCGAAGAGGAGATCCGGCAGAAAGTGGGGACCTTTCGGCAGATGCTGATGGAGAAGGAAGGGGTGCTCACCAGGGAGGACCAGCATGGGCGCCAAATGTAAGTGAGGCAGCTCCAAGCTGGGCAGGCAGTGTCTCCTTCCCATCCTTCATCCCAGAGAGGCACGTCCCAAATTGCCTCCAAGTGGATTGGAGTGGATGGATACATTGGGTGGATTGATACAGAGAGGGTATATATAGGGGTGATTGGACAGATTGATGGACATAGAGAAGGTATATAGGGATGGATGGATGGATGGATGGATGGACGGATGGATAGATGAACAGATGGATGGATGGATGGATGGATGGATGGACAGATGGATGGATGGACGGATGGATAGATGAACAGATGGATGGATGGATGGATGGATGGATGGATGGATGGATGGATGGATGGATGGATGGATGGATGGATGGATGGATGGATGGATGGATGGATGGGTGGATGGATGGATAGATGAATGGATGGATGGATGGATGGATGGATGGATGGATGGAGGGATGGATGGATAGATGAACAGATGGATGGATGGATGGATGAATAGATGGATGGATGGATGGATTAATGGATTAATGGATGGATGGATGGATGGATGGATGGATGGATGGATGGATGGATAGATGGATGGATAGATGGATGGATGGATGGATGGATGGATGGATGGATTAATGGATTAATGGATGGATGGTGTTGGAACTAGGTGATATTAAGGTCCTTTCCAACCCTAGCTATTCTATGAGTGTGATTCTATGATGGATGGATGGATGGATGATAGGTTGGTTGATTTGATGATAGGTTGGTTGGTTGGTTGGAGGCAGGGTTTGCTCTCTGAGGCCATATCCTACCTCTGGAGAGATTAAAGATTGTCCTGCGTTGGTCTTTTGGAGATCTCAGGGTGCTGTACAGAGGCCAGCATTGCAAAGCTCCTCTCCCAGATGATGAAACCGAGGTGCAGAAGGCCTCAGTGCTTGGCCCATCCTAGCAGCCAGCGGCAGAGACCAAGCAGCAGGGTTGCTGTGCCTCACCTGCCTGCTGCTGCCTCTTTGGGTGACTTCTCTCCCTGGGGCTGAACCCACAGCTTCTGCTTCCAGCCAGGCGAGGGCACCAGCTTCCTGCCTTGCTCTTAACTCCATGGTGCAGACCGGTCCTCCTGTCTCTGGATGTGAAGCTGGGGTAACCCAGCTCAGCTAGCGATGGCTCACCAGGCTGGTCTGTAACCCTAGAAAGATTAGTGTTAGCAATAATAATAATTACTGATTATAATAATAATAAATTACAGTAATAATTATTATTTATTATAATAATCATTAATAACAGTAACAATCATTGATTATAATAATAATCATTAATAACAGTAATCATTTCCACTGCAAGGGGCCCAGGCTGGATAGGCTGGGCTTGAGTCTGCTTCTCACCTAGAGCCTGTGTCTCTATCAGGCTGGTGTGACCCCAGGAAGCCTCATAGGAAGAAGCTTCTCCAAGAGGCTCCTGCCCTATTCCTCTGCCTCCCAATTGCTCCTCACATGGCCCCTGGGAGCTGCTTCTGCCCTGGGGGGCTCGGGGCTCAGGTGAGGAGTCCAAAGCAGCTCATCTCGCACTGGCCACATGCCACCCGCTGCTCCTGACCCGTGCAGGGCTGTCCCCAAGCCTCACGAGGGTCTGCCCTGTGCTTGGTGATGATTTATCTGCACGATGCTTAATGGCCCAGGCAGCGCGGCTGGCCCGGCACACACCATCCATCAGCCTGGAAACCAGGTCACTTGGGACAGGAATAGATGCTGCAGGTCCACTGAATATTAATGCTTCATTAGGGGCAGGAAATCAGGGCAAGGGGGGAGGCAGGGAAGCCGTGGTGGAAGGGAAAGCCTTCCTCCCACTGCTCCACCAGCATCCAGGCAGGAAGGGATATCCCTCACCTGGGATGGGGCACATCTGGATGGTGCTGGGGCAGCACGAAGCATCCAGGGTCCTCCTCCAAGCAGGAAAAAAGCAAGGCATGGGGAAAACAACCTGCCCGGGTCATGGAGCATCAAGCCCGAGGTGTTAACAAGTGGCCTTTGCCTGTGGGGGCAGCAGCCATCACCAGGGCATCTTCTCAACCAGGCTCATTAGGGCTGGTGCTGTAAGGAGCATATAGGGAAGCCAGACGTGGGTTAAGGTTACCCAAGCAGCCCTGGCTGTCACCTCTGTGGCCTTGCTTTTGTGAAAGGAAGGGTAATCATTAAAGATTAGCCCAGGGGCTATAAATAATAGTGCTGAGCTGGAAGGAGCAGCCTCAAAGCAGAGGATTGCTTGGGGGAGAGTGAAGGTGGATGCGCTTGGAGGCAGGTAGGAGCTGGGTCCAAAGGAGGTGGCTCTATCAGACAGCAGGGATCTGAGCTGCTGAAGGCCCCTACTAAGGGTTGTCCTGATTACATAAGGTTGAAGAGGTTGGAAAAGGGAGTTAAATAAACCTTAAATAAAGAGCCCCAGCCCTTGTATTGGCTGGGACTGTACCCAGCAAAGCATCTCATGGGCTGGTCCTGCTCCAGGGCCCCTGCGGATGTTCACAGCTCAGTCGCTGGCTGCGGGGACCATGACTCTGAACCAGCTGGTCCTGTTTCAAGCAGCTCAGCATCATCTGCAACCCCCCCAGGGGAAACTGAGGCACAGAGCAGGGCTGTGGCCACCTGAGTCCCTGGCTTGTTCCCTCTGTTTCCTATCCCTGTGTATGCACATCCTGGTCCCCAAGGAATAGCTGCTTGATGGGCAGGCTGGTGGGATTGCAAGCAGACAGGAGCGGGGAGGGATAATTGGGGCAGCAGCAGCCTGTCTTGAGCCGCTGAGCACAGCTAATGGGTGAGATGCTGGCAGCAGGCTCAGGCACGGAGCTCTGCCTGCTCATGGACCGGAGTCCAAGAGGGAATTATCCCTGCTTGCTCCTTGCTTTTCTCCCCCTTCCCATGGTTGGGTGAGTGGCTGAAAGGCTGCTCCTGCCCTGGGGGCATGGCTGGAGCAGGAGTCACTTGGAGAGGACCCAGGATGCCATGGCTGCGGCAGAGGAGGGAGCCTGAGACCCGCCTGAGCGATCATCTGTGGTCAGGAGGAGGATGATTCGCTTGTAGTTCTGGTCCAAACCACTTGTAATTGGGTTCAAGAGCCCAGCTGCTGCCTGTGGCCAGGGATGCCAATGTGCTGCACTCAGACCTGCAGTCTGGGGATGGGAGCATCCCTCAGCTCAGCCATAGACACTGACCAGGCTGCCAAGGGACCAGTGCTGTGAGGCTGCCCTTATCCACCAGCATTCCTTGCCATACACCTCCCAGTGGGAAGGGTGGAGGAGCCCTCATTGGTTCCCAAGGGTAAATCTCCCCTGGGAAGCAAGTGCCTGGGCTGGTGGGAAGCCAGCACCCTCCAAGGCACCCCTCATGAATGGCCACATCCTGTGTGAGATGTCCTGCAGCCCTCAGGAACAGGAACAAAGAAGAGGCTCCTGGTGGGGTTTGATGCTGATGGCAGAGGACCGAGGAGGCGTGGGCAGCACAGAGGGTCTGGGCAGGGACTCCTGGGTCCCTCCTGCCTGTGGTCCAGCTGCCGGGCCTCTGCCTGCAGCGCTGCAGCCAATGGCAACCTCCTGATGGTTTCCATGGCAGCAGGGAAAATTAATGCTGATGGAGTCCCTCAGGAGGGAGAGGAGACCCCGATGGCCCCAGGGCTGATGTGCTCCCACCTCATCTCACCTCCCCGGGGGGGACGTCACCCATCACCTCCTGGAGCTCTGCTGCGGAGCCAGCAGCACAGTGGGGTGATGGCCTCAAAGCTTGGATCATCCCGGACAGCTCCTGGATAATCACCTGAATCCCCCAAGCCTCCTGCAGCTCCTCTCAGCCTGATCCTTCCCCATCACCTACCTGGGCTGATTCCAGCCTCCTGGCACTTGGGTGATGCCAAAAGGGGCTCTGAATGATGCTGAGGCCAGATCCCGGTGACCCGTATCCCACCATATCCCTGTGCCAGCCCAGCAGGGATTTCTGCAGCAACAGGAGCCCCAGGAACAACCCCCCCCCATGGATCTTTGCTGCGTGTGGACCTCAAGGGACCTGACCAAGGGATGCTGCTTCCCTCCAGCATCTCCAGTGGGACGTGGGGAGCGGGGATCCCTGGATTAACGCCGTGCTTCCTCCTTTGGCAGCGTGATCGAAAACCACCACGGCGTGGATGGGGAGGAGTACGCGGTGGAGTACCCCGACTCCGGCGAGGGCTGCCTGCTGCAGTGCGACTGCTCGGCCGAGTGCTACCGCGAGGACAGCGGCCACCGCGAGTACAGGTCTGGCTGCAGCAAGCAGGGACCGTGGGGAGCGGGTCCCCATGGGGGGCACAGAGCACAGGGGGGGTGGTCCCTGCTCTCCCCCCCCCCCCCCCAGCCCTGCTTGCTTTGTCCCATAGGCTGAAACGGCGCTCGAGCAGCTCCACCTCTCCTCCACCCAAGAAGAAGAAGAAGAAGAAATCCGGTCACCGCCGGAGCCGGTGAGTCCCACGTTGTCCCCATGCTCCAAGGAGGGCACCTCTCCTCCCACCTCATCCTTTCCATGGGGCAAGTCCCCTCTCTTTGAGGGGCAGCGCACCCCAAAGCAAGCACCCTCAAGAGGTGCAATGCAGCAGTGAAGCCACGTGTGTGTCCATACACATGCAGTGCTATGGGGTGCACTTCCAGCCCACCCAACTGCGTGTACTGGTGGGGTCTTGCCTGCTCCATGCACAGCACAGGGCAGGATTTGGCTCCTGAGGGGTCTGCCCATCCCTGGTTAGCGCTGGTTGCCTGGGCAGGATGCTGTCCCTAATGTCCCTTTCTTCTCTGCCTTCCCCATGGCAGCAAAAAGAGGAAACCCGGCTCGGAGCGCAGGTAAGTGCCCACTGGGCTGGGTGGGCTGCAGGGTCCCCACCAGCCATGGGTTTGCCTTCCCCATCCACTGTCCCCCTCTGAAATCCCACCGGGAATTGGCCTCGTCTCCTGCAGGAGGCTGCAGAGCCCACGAGGTGGCAATGGGATGCAGTGGGATTTGACTGCTCCAGCCGAGCCCTTCTGCCAAAATCCCCTTTCCATCCCCCAAATCCCCCCAGGAAGCAACTCCTTTGTGATGTTCCTGCATGCTGTGGGTTGTCCAGGGGAAGCGGGGTGGTGGGGAGCAGCGGGATGGGACTTCCCTGGGCCACAGGGATGGGGAGTCTCTTGCTCCCTCATCAAGGGCACCCACTTCCCCCCCTCCAGCTGCGACAGCTCTTCACCCATCCGCAAGGAAAAGAAAAAGAAGACTGGAAAGAAACATAGACGCGATAGGTAGGATGGACACCATGGCAGGCTGGGGATACTGGGGCTGGTTGGTGGCTGCCCAGGCCCTGGGGCTGGGGTGGGATGGAAGCATGGACAGGGATGATCCTGATGGCTCTTCACAGCAGCTATCACCTGCCCCATCCAGCAGCACATCTCTGCCCTTGATCCCATCCCCGTGCTCAGTGTGTCGCCTTCACCTCTACTTCCTCTTCATCCCACAGGTCTGAGTCGGGGTCACGGAAGAAGAGAAGACACAGGTGAGAGTGATGGGAGAGCCACTCCACTGCCACCATTCCTACTGTGGGCCCCCTATCCCAGCCATCCCACTGTCCCCATGCCCTCTGCCCACAGGGATGGACCCATAAAGCACAGTGAGTGTGAGCATGGGATGCTGAGCATCACTTACCCTTGACTCAGGGCTGCTGTGGGTGACTGCAGGGTCCCGCAGAGCCCCGAATGTCCCCTAGGGGAGAAGGGGTGACACCTAAGGTGACCCCTGGTTGTTGCTGTGCTCTGTGGATGCCCTCTGCCAGCGCTGCTATTTTAGGGTGAAAGAAGTAAGAAACAGGCAAAGGGTGCTTTGGTGGGCAGAGGGACTCAAGCACAGAGGTGACAACAGGCCTGAGCCTATGGATGCTGAGCAGAGCTGGTCCCCCCTTCCCATTGCTGCCCCTTTCTGCCCAGCATCACCCATGGTCCCCGAAAGCCAGCTTTGAAGCTTGCTGGACCCAGCTCCAGCTCAGGCAGGTCCCCCCCATCGCTCCTCCTGCAGCCTCGGTGGCTCCGGGGGTGCTGCCCCCGTTCCCATCTCTGCTTCTTTTGGCTCTTCCCGCAGGTCCCGGAGCCCCAAGAGCAAACGGAAAGAGAGAAACAAAGAGCGCAAGAGGTGAGGGCTGGGGTTGGAGGGGCCGGGGCTGTGCGGTGCCCCCCGTGCCCCCTGCCACGGCTCAGCCTGCCCCCCGGCCACCCTCTCCGCAGGTCCCGCAGCGAGTCCCCGGCCTGGCGCTCGCACCGGCGCAGCTCCTGCAGCTCCCACAGCGCATCGCTCTCCTCCGATGGCAGCAGCTCCAAATCCCCCGGCAGGTAGGGGCAGGACCCCCGTCCCCACAGCATCCATCGTGGGGACCCTCGTGGGGAGGAGGGCAGAGACGTGGATCCAGAGGTGTCCCAGCGATGGGGACCCTTGAATGGATGGAGGGGAACAGGATGGCACTGCAGCACCTCTGGAGGGTCTGGAAGCACAGTGCCCAGAGGGGGGTTCATGTTTGAAATGTAGAAAGGACAAAACACTAGTTTTCATCCCAGTTCTTGCTCTGGCAAAGCCATCTCAGCCCGGGGGTGATGCAGTGCCAGGCTCAGGGCAGGGGTGATGCTGCAGCTCACGGTGTGGTGCTCTTGGTTAAGGGGTGATGCTGTGGCTCACGGTGCGGTGCCCAGGGGCAGGGGTGATGCTGTGGCTCACGGTGCGGTGCTCTTGGTTAAGGGGGTGATGCTGTGGCTCACGGTGCGGTGCTCTTGGTTAAGGGGGTGATGCTGCAGCTCACGGTGCGGTGCTCAGGAACAGGGGTGATGCTGCAGCTCACGGTGCGGTGCTCTTGGTTAAGGGGTGATGCTGCAGCTCACGGTGCGGTGCTCTTGGTTGGGGTGATGCTGCAGCTCACGGTGTGGTGCTCAAACGGGGTGATGCTGCAGCTCACGGGTGCTCTTGGTTAAGGGGTGATGCTGCAGCTCACGGTGCGGTGCTCTTGGTTAAGGGGGTGATGCTGCAGCTCACGGTGCGGTGCTCTTGGTTAAGGGGGTGATGCTGCAGCTCACGGTGTGGTGCTCTTGGTTAAGGGGGTGATGCTGTGGCTCACGGTGCGGTGCTCAGGAACAGGGGTGATGCTGCAGCTCACGGTGCGGTGCTCTTGGTTAAGGGGTGATGCTGCAGCTCACGGTGCGGTGCTCTTGGTTAAGGGGGTGATGCTGTGGCTCACGGTGCGGTGCTCTTGGTTAAGGGGGTGATGCTGTGGCTCACGGTGCGGTGCTCAGGAACAGGGGTGATGCTGCAGCTCACGGTGCGATGCTCTTGGTTAAGGGGTGATGCTGTGGCTCACGGTGCGGTGCTCTTGGTTAAGGGGGTGATGCTGCAGCTCACGGTGCGGTGCTCTTGGTTAAGGGGTGATGCTGTGGCTCACGGTGCGGTGCTCTTGGTTAAGGGGTGATGCTGCGGCTCACGGTGCGGTGCTCAGGGGCAGGGCTCACGCTGCGGTGTCCCCCAGGCTGAGCCCCAAGCGCCGGCAGGATGGCCCTAAGGGCAGCAGCGCCCGCTCCAGCCGCAGCCGGTCCTCGCCCTCGCCGCAGCGCTCGGCCTCGCCGCACCAGAACGGGCACAAAGGCAGCGCCCAGAACGGCCGGCACAGCCACGGCGCCCCGCTCCCGGAGCCCTCGGATGTACGTAGGCTTTTCTTGGATCACCGTTCGCTTCCCTCCCCTTCTCCTCCCTCCGCAGGACACCCCTACCCCGGCTCTCCTCTCTCCTCCTTCCCTGCTCCCCCCGAGCCCAGCCGGGGCACACGGGGGAGATGTGGGGTGCAGGCTCCATACCCCCCCCCCCCAAAAGCACCCATTAACCTGCCACTGGGTGCACGGTCAGCCCATCACCTCGGGGCAGGTATCGGGGCACCCAGTAGCTCATCCCACTCCCAAAGCCACACATTGCTCTGCAGATGTCACCCCCATGGGTGATGGATTGGCAGGACAGTGTTACCCGCTATGGTCACCACCGGGCTCAGAACTTCCCTGGGAATGGATTGAGCCCAGACAGCCAAAAAATGGGTAAAGCTGGAAGATTATCTTTTCCCCACCAGCCCCAACCCTCCCCAGTGCCAGGGTGCCAGCCCCAGCGCTCAGCACCCAGTGTGGGCACTGGTGTTGGGGTTTGGAGGCGGTTTTGGTGCTGGGTGCTCTGATTTTAGGAACTCAGGGGGTCCAAGGTGGGTGAATTTGGGCCTCAGTGCTCCCAGCTCTGCCTTGGCACCCCGGGGGTCCTGGTGAAGCCGGGGGGCTGCTCCCACACTGAGTGGAGGAAAGCCCTAACCCAGTGCACCCAGGGCTCCAGTCCCAGTTTAACCAGTGCAAGGAGCCTGCTTTGACTGGTGGGGAGATGGAGGCAACGCTGAGCAAAGGCATTGTGCTGGGGGAACCCCCTAATGGGGGGCACACCGGTCCCCACCCACCCCAGGCTACTTCATACCCATGGGCAAGGTGTTGCAGGGACATTCCTGCAGGGAAGCACCCTGGAAAACGGTGCCAAGAGCCCCATATTCACCCCCCTTCACCCTCCCCAGCACCCCCAGCAGCACCTCTCGGGGCACCTCTCTGCTTTCTTCTTTCCTATGGCGTGGCTGGGGTGCAAGGGGGATCACCCCATTCTCCCCCAGCATCACCCAGGCTGACGAGCTCCTTGGCTCCCCGGCACCAGCGGGGACTCTTCTCTCTCTCTTTCTTTCTTTCTTTCTTTCTTTCTCTCTTTCTTTCTTTCTCTTCTTTTTCTCTCTCTGGTTTCTGGTTTTTAGTTTTAGTTTTTCTTTTTAATCCCATCTGTGTTTTTCTTTAGCCTCCCATTTGACAAAAACCCAAACGGTAATATACACTTCCATTTCTTGCTCAAGCAGAAGCAGGGACGAGGGGGAGGGAAGGGCAATGAAACGTGCTTTTTTTTCCCCCCTTCCCTCCTTGTTTTAGTTTCCTTTCTCATGATTTCTTTTCTTTTCCCTTGTGATGTACAGAAATGCAAACGATATCTCTCTTATCCACTCCCCGTTGTCGTGTTGTTCTAGAAGTTTTTGCTTTTGTGTGTGTTAATGTGGAGAAGAAACAAACAGACAAAAAAAAGCAGATGTGTTTCCTTAACTATTTACGGCCGCTGAACATCGTATTCCAATTTCCTATCCCCGAACCAGGAATTTAAAAGGGAAGAGAATCAAGCAGCTCCGCACCGCAGAGGGAGCGGGCTCGCTTTGAGATCAAATTGCCCTTTTCCCCCTCAATTGGCTGCTGCCCTACGGCCTCGGCTGGACCCTGTTGCCACAGGGGTTCTTCTCCTCCATGGTTGGGTGCTGGGTTATTTGCCCCCTCCATCCTGAGCATCCTGCACTGGGGTACCCACGTGCTGCATCCCAGCATCCTCACTACCCAGCTCCTCATCCCAAAAGCTCTGGATTCAGCCTCCTACCAGCCCCCTCAGAGCTGTTGGTTCCCCCGGGGCGCTGCCTTCCCTTTTAAATCCCTGTTCCCATCTCCATCCATCCCTGCTGCCTTCCCCAGCCTCCCTCCCGGGTCTCTCCTCCTCACCCACACGCACCCTCCGGCCCCTCTTTGTCACCGGTTTTCTTTGGGCCGACACAACCCAACGACCCCTCGCCGTGTCCCAGCTCCATCCATCGCCTTCCCTGCATGTTATCCGGGACTTGGCCATGCCCTAGAGAGTGAAACGCAGCCGGGTGAGAGCCACCAGCCAGCAAACCCCAAGGGGCCGCCCCGCTCGGTGGCCGCAGCCTTTCCTTTGACACAGGAATAAGAGCATCATTTAAACACAGCTTCACCAAAGCACTTTGACAGCTAACTTTGCAAGCTCTAAGCCAAGCAAGCGGGGTTAGCCGAGGGGTCTGGATCGCCGTACTAAAGAGTCCTTGTCTTTTTCCCATTCTGCCCTCCAAATGTGGAGATTATTGTTTTCTTTTTTTTATGATCGCATTCCCGTCCCTGCCAATGGCAAAGGTAGGTATTTCGTCCACCTCTGCACGTTCACTTCTGCAGATGAGCCTGTTGAAAAGCACCGTAGCTTGATTTAATGTTCTTTTCTCTTTCTTTCTGACTTTCTTTCTCTTTCTTTCTCGCCTTCCTTCTCTGTCTCTCTTTCATTTTGTCTCCTTGTTGGTGGCTATATATGACTTTGGTTTTTATTTGTATGGTTCCCCCCAGTTAGCTGCAAAGCCATGCTCTTCTCTTCCGTTCTTTATTTATATATATCTTTCTTTTTTTGCCCTGTCCACGTACCATTATTCTCCTTTCTTCCCTCTTTTTCTCTTCCCCGTCTCCTCGTGCTGTCGGTAGAATGCATTTCTGTGTCTTTCAGCCCTCTGAATTTGTGTTCATTTCCATGCAGGGACTGAGCACGGTTGCTCTGTTTGAGTCCCCCCCTTAAGGGCTGGGTAACGAAGGCAAATGTAATTAGTGAGGAATAGGGGCCAGAACCCATTGGTGGGAGCAGCAGCAGATCCTGGCACAGCAAGCTTTGGGATGGATGGATGGATGGATGGGGCAAGAAATGAGAAATTTGGGTAATGTGTGGGTTTGGCCCCTCCTCTGGCCATGATGCGAAGAATAAACCCAACCCAGGGAAATAGAAGGGGTCTGCAACATGGAAAGGTTGGAATCTTCCTTGGTAGAGAGAGGCAGGTCCAGTGCATCACAGTACCCAAGGGGCAGGGGATGGCATCCCACCCCTGGCTGTCCCATCCCTGTATGTCCCCAGTGTGTGTTTTCCCTTTTGGGATGGTTCTTTGCCTATTTGGATTTATTTGGGATGCTTTTACCTTTGATGCCTTCCTGCACATCTGGGAAGGAGCTCCCTCAGCCCCAGACACAGGGTCTGGGTGGGACCCCCACATCCTGCAGCCCATGGCATGGCCAGCAGTGCCGAAATGCCCCCCTGAGAAAGAGGAGACCCCTGCTCTTCCTCTCTTCTTCTTCCCTGTGAGGGTGCTGAGGCGCTGGCACAGGGTGCCCAGAGAAGCTGTGGCTGCCCCATCCCTGGCAGTGCTCAAGGCCAGGTTGGACACAGGGGCTTGGAGCAAGATGCTCCAGTGGAAGGGGTCCCTGCCTGTGGCAGGGGTTGGAGCTGGATGAGCTTTAAGGTCCCTTCAACCCAAACCAGGCTGGGTTCCTACAATCCATCTTCTCTGCTTTCATTTTCCTCTGCCCATATATGAGGCTGGGCATGAGTTCAGCTGAACCCCCCCTTCCTGGGTTGCTGCATCTGTGTCCCCAGGCACTTGGCGGGGTGGTTTGTGCAATGGGCAGGGCTAGCCTGGATCTATTCCATCACCAACACATTTTTGACAGAAAAATACCCCAAATTCCCTCATTTTGTCCCCCGCTTGCTGGCCTGCAGCTGGAGAGGTTGGCTTATCCATGGAGACAAGGAGGTGATGGGGGACATGCCACTGGTGGAGTGGGATGCTCAGATATGCGGCGGCCTCATGTCCCTTTTGCATCATCTGCATGGTGGTCCCCAGGGTCACACTTTCTTTTGGGGGAGAAAAGTGGCATTTCTCAGGCTTAAAGAGGGGAGATTCAGGATGGATATAAGGAAGTTCCTCCCTGTGAGGGTGCTGAGGCGCTGACACAGGGTGCCCAGAGAAGCTGTGGCTGCCCCATCCCTGGCAGTGTTCAAGGCCAGGTTGGCTGGGGCTTGGATCAAGCTGCTCTAGTGGAAGGGCAGGGGTTGGAGCTGGATGAGCTTTAAGGTCCCTTTAATCCAAACCAGTCTGGGATTCTATGATGTAGGACACAGCGGGGTGGGCAGGAAGAACCTTACCATTGAGGAATAACCAACTGGGTGTATTTGGGGTGGAGAATCGGGGTGACTGGCTCCCGCCTCGACCCCTGGACCCCATTAGATCCCCTCAGCTGGGCTGAGCACCACCCCACGCAGGATTCACCCATCCAGGGATGCTCAGGGACCTGGCACTGGGCTGTGGGCAGAGTTAGGAGACCCCCAAGCCCCATTGAGCCAGGCTTGGTCAGAGCCAGTGATGCAGGAACCATTTCTATGGTCCATGATTGCAAAGACGGGGAGTAAAACCCAGACAGCGGCTGCGGCTTGGAGGAGCTCATAGAGTTGTGTGCTGGACCCCAAGGGCTGGGTAACCTGCCCCAGCTCCCAGTGCTAGCCTGGCATGGGGCAGTGACCCCATAGGAGAAGTGAGTCGGTTTGTTTTATTTCTCCTCTCTCTGTCTCTGTCTCTCCTCCTTCTCTCGCTCTTTTCTTTCTCTCTTGCATTTTTGTGAATCTAATGATGCACTTATATTGCCCCGCTTTTCCCTTCTCTTCATACCTTACCTACTAAAGGAGGAAATGCCACTTTTTTGGTAAGTGGATGTTAACCAAGAGGGACTTTAAAAAAAAAAAAGCATATAATGGAAAAAAAAAAATAAAGAGAAAGGAAGCAGAAAGCAAAGTCTGTGTTGAGTGCTGAGGAGGACTTAGCAGTTCCCTGCAGAGTCACAGCTAACAGCTCAATGCGTGTCCCAGGAAGAGCTCAGAGGCATTCGTTTAATCTCAGTGACGAGGACATTTGTGCAGTTTTGCTTTGGTTTGGTTTCTGTTCTGGTTTCCTTTTGGTTCGGTTTCAGTTCATTTGGATGGTTTTTTGGTTTTTTTTTTGGTTTTTTTTTCTTTTTCCTTCTTTCTTGGTTTACTTTTGGTTTCTTTTGGCCTTCTCCCCCCTGTCCCCCTGCCCCTGCCTTGCCCTCCATTGTCACTCTGTGCCGTCCTCCTTGTTTCTTGGTTTCTTTTAAGCCAAAAGCTGTATTACCGAGTCAAACAGTATCCAAACATCTCTCTCTATCTATGTGCATGCCTCTGTGTGAGCAGACCCCCCCATCACCCTCTTTGGTTCGACCCCTTCCCCTCGGCTCAGTCTGATTTACTCACCCCACCTTCCCTCCTCTCATCTTTTCTTTTCCCCCACCATTTCCCTCCCTTCGTTTGGGTTTTACCCCCTTTTTCCCTTCCCCTTTCTTGGTCGGGGCGGGCGGGCGCTGGGGTTTGCTTTATCCCCGCTCCAAGTGGGTGTTTTTTTGTTGGGGGGGGTTGTTTCTTTCCCTCCCTGACGACTCGGGGGGGGTTCCTTGGATTATTATTTGTATTGTTTTATCGCTCCCATCCCACCCTTTCCTTTGGGTTATTTAAGGAAAGATTTGGTTTGGATCATTTCCTTTGGCGTTCTGCATGCGGAGGTTTGCATGACCCACGTTGTTGAGGGCGAGAGGAAGGTGCAGAGTAGCGTCTGTGTAGCCTGCCTTATGCGATGTGCGTTGACGTTGTGAACCGCGGCCCCGGCCCGGTGCCCCCCGTTAAAATCCCCTTTCCTCCTTCTTTCCTCTCTTCTCCCCCCACCTCCTCTTTCCCCCCTTCTTTCTCTTTCTTCCCCCCTCCCTATCCCTTGCCAGAGGCCAGCCTCGGCGTCCCCCTCTCCGCGGGCTCATGGCAGGACGGACCCAGCGTCCCCCCGTACCCGGGGGGGCCGACACGCTGCCCGCAGCCCCCGCTCGCCCAGCCCGGAGCGGGGCAAGCACGGCCACCGGCACCGGTCCCGCAGCGCATCGTCACCGCCGCCGCCGCGCCACCGCGGCCAGAGCAAGGGCCGGCCCCCGGCCCCTCGGGAACCGGCCGGAGCCGCGCTCAGCCCAGCCGGATACAGCAGCGACTCGGAGGGCTCGGCGGGATCGGGATCTCATCCCTACCACCCGCCGCTCGGCGCCGACAGGAACCACGGAGCCAAGAAGTAAGGAGGGTCCCCGGGGTGGGAGCGATAAGGGGGTGTCCCGGTTACAGCCGGGTAAAGCTATGGAGGACATGCTGGGGAGCAGGGTGGGGTTAGGCTGCTCAAGGGATCGGGATAGGGATGGAGATGAGGACAGGGATGGGGGTAGGAATGATGCTGGGGATGGGTCTGAGTTGGGAACAGGGAAGTGGGGATGGGGATAGGAATAGTGTTCGGGATGAGAATGGAAATGGGGACAGGGATGGAAATGGGGATGGGAATGGAGACAGGAATGTTGCTGGAGACGGAGATGGGAATGGGGACAGGGATGGAGATGGAAATGGGGATAGGAATGGTGTTGGGGATGGGGACAGGGATGGAAACGGGGAAAGGGATGGAGATGGGGATGCGGTTGGGAATGGGGATAGGGAAGAGCTGCAGCGGGCCAATGCAGGCTAAATATGAAGGTTCATCCCAGCAAGGGATTATCCCAAGGGATTATCCCAGGGTGATTATTGCAGCATCCCACAGGGTGCAGGATCCCATGCTCTATAATCAGGGATGCAGCCCAGCCAACAACTGGGGTCGTGTAGCTGCACCTGCTGCTTCCCATGGGCATCTGGAATCCCCGGCTCCCATGGGACACCCTTGCAGCTGGGGTGGGTTGGGTGCAAGGAGATGCTGGGGTCTGCCTTCACAGGGTGAAGAACAGGCACCACCGGGGCCGGCCCAACAGCAGCTCGGAGTCATCGGCCAAGCACTCCCGGCACGCCTCGGAGCGCAGGAAGAGCCCTTCGCCCAGCCCCGGCCAGCGCAGCACCTCCTGGAGCTCCAGCGGGTCCCTCTCCAAGTCCCGCTCCCGCTCCCGGGACAAGAGAGCAGGACGCAGCCGGTCCCGCTCGCCCTCACCCAAGAAAACAGCCAGCAGGTCAGTCCTGAGGGAATCCGACACAGGGGCATGGATACAGCCATGGGCTTGGGGAGCATCCGCAGCTCAGGGTGGTGCTGGTGGGCATGGGCTGACCCTGCATCCCTTCCGCATCCCTGATGCTCGTCCTCATCCTCTGGTATAGAGAGAAGGACAACGAGCCCCGAACACGCCACGGTGACCCCGATCCCACCCGCGCCCGGCGCCGCTCCAGGAGCTACTCACCCATCAGGAAGAGGAGACGCGACTCCCCCAGCTTCATGGAGCCCAGGAGGATCACGAGGTGGGTACCAGCACATGGCAAAGCCTCTGCCATGGCCTTTGCACAACCCAGGGCTGAGGTTTGTGCCAGCCAACCCTGAATGATGAGTGGATGAGCAGATGGATGCATGGATGGATGGATGGATGAGCGGATGGGTGGGTGGGTGGATGCATGGATGGATGGATGGATGAGTGGATGGGTGGGTGGGTGGGTGGATGGATGGATGGATGGATGGATGAATGGATGGGTGGTTGGGTGGGTGGGTGGGTGGATGGATGGATGGATGGATGGATGGATGGATGGATGGATGGATGGATGGATGGATGGATGGATGGATGGGCACATGGATGGAGGGATGGGCAGATGGATGGATGGATTAATGATGGATGGGTGGACAGATGGATGGATGGATGGATGAGTGGGTGGATGAGCGCATGGATGGATGGATGGATGCATGGATGCATGGATGGGTGGATGGATGGATGGATGGGCACATGGATGGATGGGTGGATGGATGGATGGATGGGTAGGTGGATGGATTAATGGGCAGATGGACGAATGGATGCATGGGTGGATGGATGGATGGATGGATGTATGGATGGATGGATGGATGGATGAATGGATCAATAAGTTCAACTTAGATATAAGGAACAAGCTCTTCCCTGTGAGGGTGCTGAGGCGCTGGCACAGGGTGCCCAGAGACGCTGTGGCTGCCCCATCCCTGGCAGTGTTCAAGGCCAGGTTGGACACAGGGGCTTGGAGCAAGCTGCTCTAGTGTGAGATGTCCATGCTCATGGCGGGGGGTTGAATCTGGATGATCTTAAGCTCCCTTCCAGCCCAAACCAGTCTGGGATTATGTTATTCTATGGACAATTGGATGAGCAGCTCTGTGGATGGGTAGATAACCCTGAGTGTGCCCAGCTGGAAGAATCAGCCAGCCCAGACAGCTGGATAACCAATACTACAGTCGTGTGATCTCTTCTGGTCTTGAGGCATGAAACCAGGAATTCATCTCAATCCTGTGCCTATTCCAGCAGGACACAGCTGCCAGTGTGTCTCTCCCCTGCCCTCCCAGAGCTGGTTTCTCCTCCTTGGGATCCCGTTGAGCCAGGATCCCAGGCCGTAAGGCGGTATTTAGTGCCAGATGGAACACTGTGTGCATAGCGAGTACCTTGTCAGCATGCAGCAGCAATGCTGGTGAGCTGAGATTACCTCCTTCCTGACCTATTTGTCCCTCCTGCTCTCAGCTGGGAGATGGGACCGTGCAGTGGAGGGGCTCGAATGGCAGAAATCAGCTCTGGCTCCCTATGGAGAGGGGTTTCATTTTGCCTGGGTTGCAATGAAGTTGTAAGGAGGGAGGACCGGGTTCGAGCTCCCTGCAGCCCCCCCTGATGGATGCTGCTGAAGAACATGGGCTGGAGATGCTGCTCCCAGCCCAGAGGAAGGTTTCCCAACCCCGGCTGGTTTTGCATCCCTCCCGCTCCATCCCTGAGCTGTGTTTTGCTGGGATGTCCCGAGGAAGGGCTCAGCTGGATGATGCAGCCCATGGTCCCTGTCACCCATCCCTGGGATGGATGGGGACATAGACCCAGCTCTGCTTGAGGTTCAGGAGGAGCAGAGCTGTTTCTGCCAGGCTCAGAGGATGCTGTGGGGAGGGGGCAGCCATAGGAACACCCTCAGACCCCTTTGCCTGCCCCATAGCCCAGCCAGAAGCCATGGCACTTTACCTTGCCCTCCTGCCTTGTCCCCAGTCCCCATCACCACATCCCCACCACCCTAGCACCATGTGGTCCTGCCTCAGTGATGCCAACTTCTCCTTTTCCATTTCATCCCAAGGTCCCTCTTGGAGAGCATCGCCGCCAGCCTGGCTCCCAGGGTAACCTCCCCCCTTCCTCCTCCTCCTCTTCCTCCTTCTCTTCCTCCTGGACCTCTCTGTGTCTCCTCACACCTTAGGATGCCCTCAGCACCTCTGGGCCGTGCCTGCGTGTCTTCAGCTCCACTAACACGGGGCAGGGAGAAGGGGGCAAGGGGCTGGCTCGATGTCCCCCCGTGTTCCCCATGTCCCTCCTCATCCTCAGGCGGCAGCAGGGCCGCAGCTCACCTCCTGCTAACCCTGAACGTCTCTTTTTTCAGCAGCTTTCAGTCTCTGGTGCCTGGGAAACACAAAAGCCACATTAACCTGCTCACTTTCTGCCCTCGCCGCTGCCTAATCCAGGACTAACACCAGGGGCGGGTTGGGGAGGAGGAAAGGGGTGAGGGCGGGAGGGTGATGCTGCGCGTCCGGACCGCATCCTCCGAGCCCTGCAAGGATGCTCGGCCGCGCCGGGGGACCCAACGCTGGAGCGGGGGGATGCCCTGACTCCGTTTCCTTTCCCCTTTGCAGCGCTCGCAAGCGTCCCATCCCTTACTACCGCCCCAGCCCCTCGTCCTCCAGCTCGCTGAGCACCTACTCCTACAGCCGCAGCCGCAGCCGCAGCTACGACAGCTACAGCAGCAGCCGCAGCCGCAGCCGGACTCGCAGCCCCCCCAGCCGCTCCCGCAGCCCCAGCCGCAGCCCCAGCTACAACAGCCGCAGCAGCTCCGAGAGCGCCGGCTTCTGAGCCCGCTCCGGGACCCGGACACGGAGCCCCGATGGGGACCGGCACCACCGGGGGAGGTGGAAAAGAGCTGCGGGGGTGCTGAGGATGGACCTGGCGGCGAGGGAGAACGGGGCTTGGAAGCTCAATGGGTCCTTGGGGGTGATATCCCCCACCCCCTACTCCCCGATGGGGTGTGCTGGGGGTCGGGATGGGGTAGGGGGGGAATTGAATCTCTTCTTGTTACAGTGAGCACTGGGATGGGGTGAGCACAGAGCGAGGGAACAAACTGCTCTTGGGGGGAATGGGACACTTCCCCCCCCCCCCCCGTGTGCTGTTTTGGGTTGGTTTGGTGCTTTTAGCACAATTGTATCCTTGGGGGGGGGGGGAGGTTGAAGGGGCCTCTTCAGCCCAGAGTGATGCAGGCAGAGGTGAGCCCCAACTCTCTGCTGGCCAAGGTGTCCCCGTGGTGCCCATTTGCCCCCCCCCAGACCCAAGCGCACCCCGAGCCATGGATGAACAAAAGCCGGTGGCACCCACGAGTCTCTTCACAAGTGGGGACCACCTCTTTAGGTTAATGCTGCTCATCCCAGCCCATCCATCTCACCAATCTGGGGGGGACACGACCAAGCTGTCACAGGAGGAGGGAGCCGCTGGCTGGGATGGGGTTTATCACCTGCATGGATGCATCCACCCCATCCTCTGGCTCTGGCACATTGATCCCACCTTTGGGCTTGCAGTGCCGTGGCTTCGTTATAGAGGAGAGGGGCAGGAGGGTCCCTGCTTTGCCACAGCCCCACTTTTGCTGCTTCTCCAATCAAAAAGCCCCCCCCAGGCACCGAGGACAGTCCTGACCCCCAACCCCCCCGGGGGCCGTGGGTGTTTAATCCTGACCAGCCCCATGTTTTCCAGCTGGCTGGAGCAGGACGATGGGATGAGCCTCGCTGGGTGGGAGAGCAGCTGCAGGATTAACCCGCTGCTCCTGATAAAGAGCAGGGCTTTGGCAGTCCTGGTTGATGCTGGTTTCCAGCCAGTGGGATTGGGATATGCGTGGGGAGGTCCTTTGGAGTCCAGGTCTGCTGGTAGTGGAATGGGTTCGTTAGCTGATGGTGAACCAGGAGGGCAGAGATACAAGCAGAGGGGTATTCGAGGGTTGGATCCCAAACCCAGCATGTCAAGGAACCAGGCTCAGCCATTTGCTCTTAGAATCATGCAATGGTTTGGGTTGGAAAAGACCTTAAAGCTCGCCCAGTTCCAACCCCCTGCCACGGGCAGGGAACGTCCACTACAGCAGGTTGCTCCAAGTGCCATCCAGCATCTCCAGGGATGCACTGTGTTGGGTACCAGCCTGGGGTACCCCATTCCCCCACCCCAGCTGCACTGGGCCCCTTCTGCAGTGCTCAGAGCAGCAGAGCCGTTAGCAATGGGGTGAACAGGTAAGGAGGGGACACGCTCATGGCTCTCCGTGGCTCAGCTTGTGCCTGTGGTAGGAGGAGCAGACGAAGGGTCCTGCTGCCCTGGGGAGATGAAAGGCACAAGCATCCCCATCATCCCTATGGGGACAATGACCCACCCGCTCCCCAAACCCTACCCCATCAATCACAGCTCACACTGGCTGTGGGAGCCCCAAAACCAACCTTGGGGAGGGATGGTCCCCGACAACACCCACCCAGATTGAAGCCACCATCAGCGGCCGCAGCCCCCCTAGGGCCCCCGGTGCAGCACGGTGCAGCCCAGCCAGCACATCAGGGATCATTTCCAGTCTTCCTCTTCTACAGTGTCTGTGTCCCGCCGCGGAGGGAGCCAACTGGAACAAACTCTGTAGGGACACTGCAGTATTTTCCTCTCTCGTGCGCGCTCTCTTTCCCCCCCCCTGGGTTGTGGGCTCAGCTGTAGACCCAGTGAGCTGGTTCCGTCACAATAAAATATACAGTATATATTGTAAATGACTCTGCTGGGCACTGAGAGCTTTATTCATAGGGGCTTGGGCTTGTCCAGCTCCCCAGGCCCATCCTCACCCTCTGTCCCTGTCTCCAGCCACCCCTGGCTCGTCTTGTCCTGGTGCTTCTGCATCCTGCTACAGCGATGGGGGGAACCCTCTGGGAAGCCCCGCTGTGGGGCAGAGATGTCCCGTTGCATCCTTGCTGTATCCCTGCAGCCCTCCTGGCTCCCTGCATCCTTCTCTGCATCCCTCCTACCCATCCCATCCTTCTCTGCCTTCCTGCCTGCATCCCTGCACCTCTTCCAACCCTCCCATTGGCCTGCATCCCTCCCATCCTCCTACATCCCTCCCTGCATCCTCCTATCCCTCCCACTTTCCTTCGACCCTCCCATCCCTCCCTGCATCCTTCTCTGAATCCCTCCCCGCATCCCTCCCAGCCCTCCCCTTTCCGCATCCCTGCATCCCCACCTGCATCCAGCCCCTCCCTCTCTGCATCCCTCCCCTTTCCCGCATCGTCGCATCCCTTCACCTCCGCAGCATCCCCGCCTTCCACCAGGCTGCCCCCCACCCCCAGCCTGTACCAACCCCTGCGGGGCTCAGCGCCGGGCTCTGCCCCAGACAAAGGGGTCCTTCCCTACAGGGCTGGGGGGGGGAAGGGGATATGAGTCCCAGGGGCTGTCAGGATCGCTGGGCTGGAAAATCCGCTCTTCCCTGGGATCGGGAGCCTGGAGTCTGGCTCCAAATGGGAATCGCGTCCCGTGATGTGAAGAGCCACCCCCGTGCCCCCCACAAGAGGGGGCTGTTCCCTCCATCCCCCAAACCCCATCACCTCTATCCCCCTCCTCACCCCCCCAGCCCCCAGGATGTCCTGCCAGCCCTTCAAGGTCCTACAATCCCCCCTCAACCCCCACTGGCCCCATTGGGACCCCCATTGGCTGGAGCAGCCCACCCCCAGCTTTGTGCTGCGGTGGGTGTCCCAGCATCACGTCACGACATTCAGCACCATGTCGCGATATTGAGCGCCGCGGCGGTGCCCGGCGGCTCCAGAAGCTTCTGTCCGGTGGTGACGCAGCGGCTCCCGCACTGACTCACCCGCGGCGCTGGCCCGGCCCCAGCCCCTTCCCAGCGCATCCTTGGGATGGTTCCGGGCAGGAGGCTGGGAGCGGCTCCAGGCGCCATCCATCACCTCCCAACCAGCCCGTCCGAGGGATTGGCCCCATCCCTGCGCTTCCCACCCAATGCGGCTGCGTGCGGCCGCCCCCATCCCATGAAAGTTTCCCGTCCGTTCCCTGTGTCCCGCTGTGATTTCCATTAATAGCCAGCTGAGCCGCCCAACTAAAAATAACCCCCGGCCGCCTTCATAAGGCCCCATAGTGCCGCTCCCCCCGCCGCTCCACGGCAGCACCATGGCCGAGCGCCGCGTCCCCTTCACCTTCCTGCGCAGCCCCAGCTGGGACCCGTTCCGGGACTGGTACCATGGGAGCCGCCTGTTCGACCAGTCCTTCGGGATGCCCCACATCCCCGAGGATTGGTACAAGTGGCCCAGCGGCACCGCCTGGCCCGGCTATTTCCGCCTCCTGCCCCGGGAGAGCGCGCTGGTGCCGGCTCCCGGTTCTCCCTATGGACAAGCGCTGAGCCGGCAGCTGAGCAGCGGCATCTCCGAGATCCGCCAGACCGCGGACAGCTGGAAGGTGACCTTGGACGTGAACCACTTCGCACCCGAGGAGCTGGTGGTGAAGACCAAGGATAACATCGTGGAGATAACGGGTGCGTGATGAGGGGATGGGGGGGAAAGGGAGGGGAGGCGGGGTAAGGGGTGGGAGGCAAGGGAAGGAAGGGGAAAAGGAGATGGAGGGGAAAGGGAGAGGAGCAAAGCAAGGCAAAGAGGAAGGCCCCTCATTACAAGCTCAGTCTCGGGTGCATTCATGCTGCAGGTGTTACGCAGGGTGCAGACACCCCCAGCCCCATGTACTGCCCCCTTGCTGTGCTCCCAGGGGTGTCGGGAGCCCCGCAGCCCCCCGTGCTCCCCACAGCTCAGCCAGGGATGCGGTGATGGAGCGCAGACCCCATGGCATGAGGCCAGCGCTGTGCTGTGTGCCTGGTGGGGATGGGGTCCACACGGGGTGGGACGATTCCCATCCAGCGGGATTGGGATGGCAGTGCTCCATCTCCCACTGGGCTGGGGGACCAGAATGAGGGATGTGGGTCCCCTTGGCACCGTGCTTTGCTCCCCTAGGATGTGGGGCATCACAGAATGGTTTGGGTTGAAGGGACCTCAGAGCTCATCCAGTTCCAACTCCCTGCCATGGGCAGGGACACCTTCAACTGGAGCAGGGTTCTCCTGGAGGGATCTCACTGCCCCTGGTCCCCCCCAGCCCAGCTGATGTTAATGCAAAGACACCCAGGACAGGGGCAGAATCAGCCTTTCCCCAGTACAGAATGATGCTGGAACCTGGCGGGATGGGGCAGGGAAGGGTGATCGCAGGCACAGAGCCCATCCAAGCTCTGCTCATCCACACAGCCCCTTCCAACCATCCCGGTTTCCTTTCCCCCAGGCAAACACGAGGAGAAGCAGGATGAGCACGGCTTCATCTCCAGGTGCTTCACCCGCAAATACACGTAAGTACAGGGAGAGGGGAGACGGGATCCTGGCAGCATCCCTGTGTCACTGGGGACCTCTGAACACCCTCCCATCCCCTCCAATGCCCACTGGCCAAACTGGGGATGCTGCTCACCTAAACTGGGGATAACACTCATCCAAACTGGGAATAATACTCACGCAAACTGGGAATAACACTCACGCAAACTGGGAATAACACTCACCCAAACTGGGAATAACGCTCACGCAAACTGGGAATAACACTCACGCAAACTGGGAATAACACTCACGCAAACTGGGAATAACACGCAAACTGGGAATAACACTCACGCAAACTGGGAATAACACTCACGCAAACTGGGAATAACATGCAAACTGGGAATAACACTCACGCAAACTGGGAATAACACTCACGCAAACTGGGAATAACACGCAAACTGGGAATAACACTCACGCAAACTGGGAATAACACTCACCCAAACTGGGAATAACACGCAAACTGGGAATAACATTCACGCAAACTGGGAATAACACGCAAACTGGGAATAACACTCACGCAAACTGGGAATAACACTCACGCAAACTGGGAATAACACTCACGCAAACTGGGAATAACATGCAAACTGGGAATAACACGTAAACTGGGAATAACACTCACGCAAACTGGGAATAACACTCACCCAAACTGGGAATAGCACTCACCCAACCTGGTGATGCTGCTCATCCAAACGGGAATGCTACTCACTCAAACTAGTGATGCTCCTTGCCCAAACTGGGGATGATGCTCACCCCCCCTGCGGGTCCCACTCACCCCAACTGGGGAGCGTGCTGAGGCAGCAACGTGGGGCTGAGCATCGCACCCGCGTGAGTGCCGGGTGCTGCATCCCTGAGCCCATCTCTGCCCCACAGCCTGCCCCCCGGCGTGGAGGCCACGGCGGTGCGGTCCTCGCTGTCCCCCGATGGCATGCTGACGGTGGAGGCGCCGCTGCCCAAGCCTGCCATCCAGTCCGCAGAGATCACCATCCCCGTCACCGTGGAGAGCCAAGCCAAGGAGCCGGCCAAGAAGTGAGGAAGAGGAGGAGGAGGAGGAGCCGCTGCCTCCCCACAAGCTGCATCCTCACCCCCATCCCCGCTTGCAGCCCCCTTTTTATTACTTTGTACTCGCCCCGTCACCGAGTGCCTTGAATCAATGTGAAGGAGCCGATAGCATCAGCTGGAATAAAGAGTGGTGAAAGAAACCAGGCCCCATTCCCTGTGTCCCCCGTTCCCTGTGTCCCCCATTCCCTGTGTCCCCCATTCCCTGTGTCCCCCATTCCCTGTGTGTCCCCCATTTCCTGCATCCCCCATTCCCTGTGTCCCCCATTCCCTGTGTCCCCCATTCCCTGTGTGTCCTCCATTCCCTGTGTCCCCCATTCCCTGTGTCCCCCATTCCCTGTGTCCCCCATTCCCTGTGTCCCCCATTCCCTGAGTCCCCCATTCCCTGTGTCCCCCATTCCCTGAGTCCCCCATTCCCTGTGTGTCCCTCATTCCCTGTGTGTCCCCCGTTCCCTGTGTCCCCCATTCCCTGTGTCCCCCATTCACTCTGTGTCCCCCATTCCCTGTGTGTCCCCCATTCCGTGTCCCCCATTCCCTGTGTCCCCCATTCCCTGTGTCCCCCATTCCCTGTGTGTCCCCATTCCCTGTGTCCCCATTCCCTGTGTCCCCCATTCCCTGTGTGTCCCCCATTCCTGTGTCCCCCATCCCCGTGTCCCCCATTCCCTGTGTGTCCCCCATTCCCTGTGTCCCCCATTCCCTGTGTGTCCCCCATTCCCTGTGTCCCCCATTCCCAGTGCACTGCGGATGTGCTGGAGCAGGAGGGAACCACATTGAGTCCCCAGCTCTGGCAGTGCTGGACCACAGCATGGGATGGAGCCACCCACAGTCAGTGTGGCCAAAGGGGGGGTACACTGAGCCCTGCTCAACAGCATGGGGTCAGCATCACAGGGACCCACATCCTGAATCTCTGTGTCCTGCATATCCCACATCCCAGGTCCCCATATCCCAGCCTCCAGCATCCTGTATCTTCACATCTCTGATCTCCAAATGCCAGGTCTCCACCATCCTGGGATCAGCATCCCAGTTGTGCACATCCTGGGTCTCTGACATCCCAGGTCTCCCAAATCCTCTCTCCCACATCCCAGGTCTCTGCAGTCCTGGATCTCACCATCCTGCTCTCCAAAACTCTGGGTCGCATCATCCCGGATGTGAACCCTTTGGGCCTCAACACCCCAGTGCCAGCATCCTGGATCCCTACATCCCTGAGGACCAAGCACAGCCCTGGCTCATGGGGGCCTGAGGGCAAAAGGGACTTCATGGGGAGAAGCTCTGACCACAAACACCCTATCCCCGGCAGCATCCCCCTTCCTCTCACCCCATTGCCATGACCAAGGGGGGCTGCACCCATGCGGTGGGGCTGGATGTAATGTGGGTCAGTCCCAGTCTTGGTCCCTTTCGGCCCCATCTGGCCCCATGCCCCTGTATGGAACCGGCCCTACATGGCTGAGGCTGGGCTCACGGCTGCGATGTTCCCGCTTGGATAAATCCCACTAATCCCCCTGAGTCATCCTGGAAGCAGACAGTGACCTGGGAGGAATCCTGCAGCTGCGGGGCCCCTCTCCGGGTCCAGGATAGGGGGGGCTCCTTGCACCCCTGGAGCCCCGATCCCTCTGCCCCAGCAGTGCAATGAGGTTGGGAGGACTCAGCCTCCGTGTGGGGCTGGGGTTGGCTCCTGCTTTGGGGGTCACACATGTGCTTGGGGACCACCTCCATGTGCATCACTGTGGGGATGGGTGACCATGGCAACCAGAGGGATGGGGATGGTTGCCATAGTGAGCAGCGCAGCCTTGGGGGGATGAACACCAACCACCCCTTCCCGGCCCTGCATTCCCACCTGGAATGGGGCCGGTGCAATGAGCTTGGCAGGTCTCCTGCCTCCTGAGAGGGCATCCATCTATGAGGGATGGGGGAAGCACTGGGGGTGCCCTGCACATGGAACACCCCATTTTAGGGCTAAATCCTGCCCAGCAAGCGCTGAGAAGGGTCCTGCCTCCTGACTCTCCCCTTCTCTCTCTGCCTCTCCCATGCGTGAATGGGGTACACGGACACATGGGCATCGCTGGTGCTGCATCCCAGGGGACCCATTTCCTCCTCCAGATGTGCAAACCGGCCCCACCAGCGAGGGGGAGATGTGGGGAATAACCCAGGCTTGGGGGGTGCTGGGCCAGGATGGGGCCCTGCTTCCACAACACCCCCTGGGCAGCCCAGTGGCCATAAGCCTTATGATCCCCCCCCCACAAGGGCACCCCATAACCTCTCCCATGGCCAGGCCATGCAGTGCTGTGCTCATGGACCCCTCTTTGCCACCCCATGGGGCTGCTGCAGCCCCTTCCCATGGGTCCATCCCGCCCCCCCCTTGGCTCCATTGCAGGGCCCATGAATCAGTTTCAGTTTATGGCTTCCAAAGGCAGGGAATATTTTTGCAGCGTGAGTCACCGCAGGCGGCTCTGAGTGGAAAAACCATGGGGAGGGAGGGAGGAAGCACCCCCCAACCCCCCTGCTCCCATGGGAGCACCCAGGGGCCACCCCCACGACATCCCCCGGGCACCCTCCAAGCTGGGATCATGGTGAACCATTAACCCCCAGGGATGCAGGGCATCATGGAACGGGTTGGGTTGGGAAGGGCCTTAAAGCTCACCCAGTTCCAACCCCAGGGTACCTCCCATTGGAACCCCAAGCCCCGTATAAGCGTTTCCCTCCGTGTTTACGGATGATGAGGAACGGGATGAAGGAAGCCCCCAACCCATCACCCCGACGCGGGGGAGAGCAAGGCAAGCAGCAGCGCTTGACGTCAGATCTGTAAGTTTATTTGCTCAATGTACGACGGCTACATAATGACTCACATTCATGATATTCCATCACTGAGGAAAAAACCGCGAAGGATGGTCCGTGTGCGAAAGGATTCCTTACAGAAACACGGAGGCGGGGGGGGGGGGGAGAAAAGAAGAAATCACTGATTTCGACCTTAAAAAGAGTTTCACTGCATATAACATGACGAAAAGCACAAACAAAGGCTCATTCAAAGAACACAGTCATTGTTCTCCTACACTGCGATAGTTATAGTTTCACCATGACGAACACCAGACATTAAGGTTAAGCTAACACTGGTGTCTTCTTTTTTGCCTTTTTTTTTTTTGTCTTTTTTTTTGTTGTTTTTTTTGTCTTTTTTTTTGGTTTTTTGTCGCTGTTTTCCTGTTTTCAGAACGAAATAAAACCCTATAGAATCGCATGTCACTAGAGCAACACCCAGAACAGATCAGTTTGTTACGATCACGGTCGGGAGAGAGCAAACTGTGCCCCCCCCAGAAAGGCAAAGGAAGGGAAAAGAAAGGAGAGAGAGAGAAAAAAAAGAAAAAGGAAAATAAATTAAAAACCAGAAAAAAAAGCCTTTAAAAAATTGGGTTTTGAAGACTATTTTGTCATAGGAATACAGAACATCTACAGTATAAGTTAATAAACTTCAAGCTACTGTATAGAAATACGACACTAGCATGCACAATATTGTATCAATAGAGTAATGGAGCAGTAATCAGTTCACTGGAGAGACAGTATCATAGGCAAGTGCATCTCTTAGAAAACCAAAGAAACCATTCAAGCTGCTTCAAAAATCAAGCCCCTGACCCCCAAACTCCCTTTTGAGCCCTCTTGTGCCATCTCTCCTGCGGAAGTTTCCTAAAGCAGCCAGAGCAGAAGCCAAAAAGAAGGGAAATGAAATGAAAAAGGCCAAAAAAACAAAAACCAAACAAGAAAAGATGGGTTTTGTAATTCCAGTAAATCACTTCCAAATGATAGAGCCGGGACGATGCTGCTCATGGGTTGAGCAAAGGAAGGTAAGAAGCTTAAAGCCATCTTCCAGCCCATGGTACCGCGAGCATCCCGCCATGGGATGCTGCTCATGGGATGTGCTGCTGGGCAAGACCCTATGTGTGGAGGCATCCCAGTCCAAACCAGCTTTACCAGCATCTCCATGGCATTCCCCGGAGCACAAGCACCGGGGTCTGCTCGCTCCGCAAGGAGTCGGGATAGCGGCTTTGTGGTGACAGTGGGGAGCTGGAGCAGCATCCCCGTGTGCAGGCCATGCGTGCAGCACCACGGCACCCTGCTCTTGCAAGGGACAGGGACAAAGCCTGTGTCTAAAGTGGAATCAAACATGCAGGAGTGTGGGGTTTCCCTTCGATGAGCCGGAGGGCGGCAGTGAGCTTCCAACAGCAATGGGGAAACTAAAGCGAGAAGTAAGTTTACTCCAAGAACAGGGTAAGTATTCCCTGCTAAAGCAACATGGATGTCCCATTTCCCACCCCCCAGCCAGATCAGCCTTGGGAAAAGACTTTGCTAAGAAGAGAACTAAGTTCCTGGGCTCCTGATGGGCGATAGAAATGTCTATGATTGTAGCTCTTCCCGTTAGGGATTTCTCTACCACGTTAGTTTCTAAGCTCCTGAAGTTCACTCATTACACCACAAGCTTCCCCAGGAGAAAGGAAAAACGCACCCGGCTTCCCTGGTGACAAACAAGGGAGCCTGGGTGCCAGGGATCTGCTGACAAACCTCATGGTACAGTGGGAGAAAGTCAGGCAGAAGTGAAATGGCAGTGCAATCCCTGAGGAAGCAGCTGTGGCACCTTAAAAATCAGGATGGTCTTTTGAAATACCAAACACAGTACATGACATACAGACCTGAATGCTCTTTTTTATTATTTTTATTATTATTATTATTATTATTATTATTTTATTATTATTTAAGTGGCATTTTTTTGTTGAGTTTAAACACTTCCCCCTTGTCTAATTGAAGTTCTTACACCTTTTTGCTGTGGACTTGGAAAGAGTTGAAACAGCCGCTAGCCAAGCACCTGGTATAAGCTGTTGACCAAAAAACTAGAGCAGCTTTGATGTTCCTCGGGCGGGCGGTCTTCTTGCCTTGGGCCACACAGAATAGCTAAAGCCAGTCCACAGGCGAGGACTGATCAGGAAGGCAAGCCAAAAGAACTAGCAAAGAAGAAAGAAGAGAACACAAGACAATCAAAAAGGCTTGATGTCATATGGCTGTAATGTAGAGATACTGTAAACTGCGATTTAGTGTTAATACTGTCAGCTACCCTAAGAAATACCTCGATCCAAAAAGAAATCACTCAGAAAGATGGGATGGCCTAAACCCCCGAGCACTGCGAGCCCGGAATTCTTTAGTTCTTAAATTCCTTCTGGATGTGGGGATTTGAGGCTATGCCCTGCCAGGCAGAGCGCCGCAGAGAGATGCCCCGCGATGGGGGACGGACACACGGCACTTGGACTGCGGAAACAAACGCATAAAGCCTTACTGGAACCACACAATTCCTGACTGGAACCACAGAACTCTCTTTTTTTGTTTGTTTGTTTTCTCTCCTTGTGTTCCTTTAGAAAACGAGGGCCATTCCATCCACACGAATTCACCTCTAAAAACTCCTTTTTTTATGTGGTTTTGTTGTGTTTGATTTCTAGCAATAAAGTTAAATTAAAGACAGCTCCACTCGTATTAATAATCTACAGAACAGTCCATATGCCAGTGAGGCTGCTATTCCATTAACCAGCACAGCCAGCCTGACTTCCACTAGTGGTGTTTTGGCAAAAATGTCAACGAGGCAATCAAAGACAGGTAGTGGGGGGCCTCCCTGGGAAGGGGTCCCCTCCCTGGTCCCCCCCCCACCCCTGACACCCCCCCCCACTCGTGGGAAAAAAATAAAGACTGCAGTAGTTAGCATCAGCGTGCGGCTGCCAGTCCATCGCGGGGGGGTCTAGTTGTTGCCTTCACCGCCGTCGTCGTCTTGCTGATCGCTCGTCCAGAGCGTTAGGTTGTCGCGGAGGAGCTGCATGATGAGCGTTGAGTCCTTGTAGGAGTCCTCGTTGAGGGTGTCCAGCTCGGCAATGGCATCGTCGAAGGCCGTCTTGGCCAGGTGGCAGGCCTGCTCCGGAGCGTTCTGGATCTCGTAGTAGAAAACGGAGTAGTTAAGCGCCAGCCCGAGCCGGATGGGATGGGTGGGCTGCATGTGCTCCTTGCTGATCTCATGGGCTTCGCTATAGGCTTTCTCCGAGGACTCCACCACGGTCGCCCTCTTCTCACCGGTGGCCACTTCGGCCAGGTAGCGGTAATAGTCCCCTTTCATCTTCAGGTAGAAGACTTTGCTCTCGTACTGCGTCTCGCTGCAGTTCTTGATCAGGTAGTTGTCCAGCAGGCTCAGCACATCCTGGCACACCGCTTCCAACTCCTTCTCGATCTTCTCGCGGTAGGCACGCACCATTTCTATCTTCTTCTCGTTGCCGTCGGCAGAGGTCTTCTGCTCGATGCTGCTGATGACTCGCCACGAGGAGCGCCGTGCCCCCACCACGTTTTTGTAGGCGACGGACAACAGGTTCCTCTCTTCGTTGGACAGAGGCTCGTTCAGCTCCGTCACCTGCACCAACAGAGGGAGAGACAAGAGAGACATGTGGGTTAAGCCCCAGTCACTTCATGTTCCCATCGCATGGTCGGGTGTTCCCATGTATCTCGAAGCGAGACGCAGGAGAAGGTGGCCAGCTTGCAAAGTCCTGCTGTCATCCAGCATCTGCTCCCATCCCAGAGGGAGCCAGCTGGGAAAATCACGCCGTGGTCCAGGCCCCCAGCAAAAGGGGTGGGTTTGGCTTTATTCCAGGTATTCTCCAGCTCCTAAAGAGTTTTCCAGGGTGAGAAAAGTCTCCTAGGAAAGAGAAACCTTCCACCTGCGGGATTAGAGTTGGACTTGGTGATGGAAGGGAGAGGGAGAGGCAAAGCAAGAGGGTGGAAAAGGTCTACAGTCACGAGCCAGCCGCATGGATTAACAATACCATAGCCACAGGGTGCTCAGCTTTCCCACAAGCACATGCTTCTGAGATGCCTAAAGAATACACTAGATGTTAAAATTACAGCTGCCTTAAGGTATGTGCACAGATAGGGACTCAAAAGCTCACATGGTTAAGAGTACGCTCTTCCCACACAGGATTTTCTCTGTTGAAGATAAGTGTTGATGCACAGCATCCCTTCTACCTGCCTCACACCTGCAGCAACAGGGAGCTGGCAGAGCACAGAGCCATCTCACAAGCAGGATGCCAACCACCACCTTGGACACTTCAGCTACTGGGAAGCATCCTACTTGATGCTGCAGTTATCTCACTGCAGCTCCCATAAACCACCTCTAGTAGCCTGGGAAGGGCTCCCGTTCCCCTTGACTCCATGCTGCATCCCAGATGTGGTTCTGAGCCCTTGGAGTGGGTGCAGCAGCCAGGCTGCTCCATAGAGCTACTCTGCTGTTTAAGCACACAGCCCTGGCTTGTGTGCGATGTGCTGCTTCCTGCAGAGGCTCAGCACAACTGCTATGTGCTAACTGCCCCTGGCATGCTGTTTATGTGCTGCTTCCAGCCTGCCTTGTGCTCTAAGTTCAGAGTTCTAGCTGTCTGTATTGCTACAGGACTTTGAAATGACTCCATTCTTCCCTCTGAGTGACACCTGCACAAACATAAATATGCTGTGAGGTTAGAGACATCTTTGAAAGCTGGTGGAGCACTGCAGGTAGGCTTATGGATTGCCTACCCTTGGAGATACTCAAAACTCCATGAGGTTAATCAGGGTCCTGTCCCATGTAAGCTGCCCTGCTTTGAGTAAGGGAAGCCATGGAAACATCCAGAGATCCCAGCCTGCCTTATCCTCTCACCTTTCAGTTGTAATCGGAGTGCCCAGCGCCAACAGCCACACAAGACACTCGCTGACTCCAACAGTTCCCTGTCCTGACACTGGTTCTGAAGGCTGATAACCACAGGAGGCTTTCAGCAAGATGCTCTCTAAGCAGAGATACCAGTTTTAAGTGTGGACCAAGCAGGTGACTTTAAAGCTGCCCTCCAGCTACATCTGCAGATACTTATCAGTGCAGAAAGGAGATTTACCTCCTCTCACCAGAGGAGTCTTGCTGGAGGACAGATTTATTAAAACTACAGGGAGTTTCATAGGATTAGCTTTGCCATAAACATTTTAAATTCGAAGCTATTAGGGATTATGGAAGAAAGTTGCCTGTCAAAATCCTCCCAACAAACTGGCTGACAGATGGAAGGTACCACCTGTGGAGAGAACAGGTTCCTCCAGGGAGCTCTGCAGGGAACTCACCAAAGCAGAACGGGAGCCTTGTTAACTGCTTCCTAGCAGCAGCCAGGCTCCCAGAAAGGTAGAGCACTGCAGGGATGCACTGCAGAGGAACCACATAACATGGCCAGAGACAGGGACCACATCCCTCAGCACTAGGAGAGGGAAGGGAAGAGGCTGCAGTGCCACACATACTTCAGTTTGCAACTGAGCTGAGAGAGGAAGAAACAAAACCCATCTGGCACTTGCATTCCCAGCAGGAAGTAATGCAAGATGCCCAGGACACTGGGTATCAGACAGCAAGGGTATGCTTAGCTGCCTTCATCGGAGAGTCACTGGAAGGTGGAAAGGATGTATCCGGAGTTAAGCTGCCTTTGAGAACTGCCATCATCCCAGAACCTGCCTGCCACGTCTCAAATGCTGCTGCCCACTTGCTTGCTGAAGGCTGCACTGGTGTCTTCTGCCATGGACACACTCTGCACTCCAGCATGGAACTGCAGTCCCTGCCATGTTGCTTTTGCCAACAGTTCCATATGGGTGACTGTCTCCAGCAGAAAACCATACAGAAACCACTGCAGCAACTCACCAAGTGAATGCGGGTCTGTGCCTTCACTGCAAGCCTGTGCTGGCCAACCAAATGCTGCTTTATTCTTAACGCTGCAGGATACCACCACAAAGCAAGTTCAATCAAGCCAGAGGCTACCAGCAAGCTCTGATATGTTTGATTTATAGCATTGCATTGAACGCCTGTGGTGCAACATCAATAAGGCAATACCCTGCATCAGACCTGGATTAGGTTGCAGTGGTCTCATTACAAGCCCTTTTGGGGAATTTCTGCTCATGTTTGTTTCCAGCGTCCAGATTAATATTAGCAGAACATTCCCACTTCTTAACTCAGACCCTGGAAGGGCAGCACCCTCATGTACAGACCAACCCTGTGAGCATCAGCCCTGATGCCATTCCCAGCGCTGTTACATGGAGCTAAAGACCAAATACCCAAAGCAAAGCCTCAGCCTGGCACTGAGTTTGGCAGGAACACAAAGGCACCAGGCTCTGCCTGAAGTCTCACTGCTCTCTGGGAAGCTCAGTCAGTTGGGAGTTTTACTTGCCTGGTTGACAGCAGAGGAAAGCAGAACTACCAGCAGTAACTACGAGCTACTGAGCACCACGAACCTCAGTAACTGTCAAGCCTCATTTCACCCTCATGCCCCTGCACATCGGGGCAGGAGATGCATGTGGCTGAAATGGAGTCAAGCCTTGCATGTGGCATGAACAGCCAAGCGCTAAGAGCTAGCCCACACACTCACGCAGCTGGAAGCTTGATAGATGCAAGTCTTCAGCTATTCTGAAGGGAAAAATAAGAATAAAATAGACCTTTTTCATCTTCCTTTCTGCCTCTCCCCCCAAGCAAGCCCAGCCACAAGAGTGGCTCTTATCAATGCAGAGCAGCAGGAGATGTCAGCCATGGTGCTTCTCATTTCCCTGCTAGTCTGTAGGTAATGACCTTACTTGCAAGAGCTTCCCCTGTGCCCCATCACCACATGCGACACATGTGCCAGAGCCAGACCCTTCACATGCTGCAGGCAGAAGCCCTGCCTAAGGGCAGAGGACACCTCACCATGGTGCAGCCTACATTGACAGGCTTTGGCTTGGAGACACACTCCATCACCAAGCTTGAGGATGCTGCCATGTTCCAGTCGCACCAGTTCCTGCAGCCTCTGAGGATGCAGTGTCTGCACCACCAAGACTCAAGTGCCCTAAAGCCATAGAGGCAATCCAACAGCTCCCATTGGACAAGAACTACTGGAAGTTGAGGGTTTCTCCTGCTCGAGAGCACAGAGGTTTGTATAAAGCAAAGCCTCTGACTTGCAGCAAAGCTCTCCTGATTTCCCTGCTGCAGCAGTGAGCTCTGACTCAGCACTCCGTCCAAAACCTGGCACTCTCCTGGCATGCCCAAGTGTCACATCGCAGCCGGGGCAAGGCTCAGCCTCGGGCAAGAAGCTGCAGCAAACCTGCCCCTCATGGCAAGGTCCATGATCTCCAAAGCCCAAAGGTTGGTCCCACTGCACCTTCTTTCCAGAAGCATCCTAATGAGCAGGCTTTGAGACCTACAGGGAGGTTTGCTCCCAGCCAGTGGCAGGCTAGTTTACTTACAGGGCTTACTCCAGGACTCTTACAGTCCACTTTTCACCTTGCACCCACAGGTCTGAAGTAATTTCTGACCATTTCTGAGGACCCTACAGTAGCTGCAAAGGAGGATTTTGGTTTAGCTGTTTATCCTCATACATGTTTCACCTGCTTTTATAACCAAGTGCCCACCCATTTATGGCTCCTACCTAGCTTTGATGTCTTAAAGCATACAGCAGAGCAAGCTGAGCATACCCACAGCTCCTTCCCTGAGGAATGCCATCCACATTTGACAGTTTAATCCACGTTCTATGCCTCAACACTTCTGCTTTTCCGATTGCCTGAGTCCCTGAAGACATGAGGTATCTCCAAAGGGCAGAGACAACCATGAGAACCTCCAACTGCCCAGGGAGAATGGCTGTTGAGTATCAGAGCTCCTCTTCCACCAGGATACACAACAGCTGTCTCCTTCTCAGCACTTGTGTTTCCTCTGTTCTATCTACAGCTCTGCACCATGTAATTAAGCATGTTATCTCCCAGCAGAAACCCCTGCTTGGAAGTGACCCTGAGGCCTGGCCTAAAGGTCCCCTTTCCCATTTCATTCTTCTTTTTAAAAGCAAATACACTTTTGAAACAACTTTCTGCCCAGAAATCCCACCACTGCCGTTCTTAGCTGCTCTGAAGCCACTTGCAAAGGGGAGCAACCAGCACAGAACCACTTCAGGCTCAAGCAACTGATAATGTTCATGACTACCCGCAGCCACGCCAGCTTCAACCTATCTCTAGCCATTGTCTCGTGGTGGGACCCCATCACCCATCTGCAAGCACCCCCTTCAGCAGCCTGAGGGTCATTTTGGAAGTGACACACCAGAGACACTGTTTTATCATCCCCATCTCACTCTGCATTCAGCTTCTGAAGTAAATGCCTGCCCCCAAGCACATTAAACATTCACCATACCCAGTGGCTTCGTTACAGTCATGATGAGATGTTGCACAACCCAGGCAAGAACAGCTTCTCCTTGTGTGCTCCAGAGCGAGCTGCCCTACGACACCATCGCAGCAGTCACAAAGATGCTGTTCTTCAGCACTGGCCTACTTTGGCACAAAGTAGGCGTGTGTTAAACCAGACCTAAATCTAAAATCTCAGCAGATTGCACCGGTTTGGGTCTATTCCTCCCC